GGGATGGAGACAAGTTGGACCTGTCCTTCCAAGGGATTGGCAGTGGCACCCAAGCACCTCTCCTTCTGTCTGTCTCATTTCCTTATGCCCTTCCTTCCTCTCCTATAATTCAGGCTTTTTCCACCCTACCCAGTTTTGTCTAAACTCCTTAGACTGGCATTGAAGACCTTTCATGTTCTGGTCTCAATCTGCCTTTCCTTTTTCTTCTTATACTGCCTTTGCATGTTTCTTACATTATGGCCAAACTGGACTCCATACCAAATATACTCTTCTTTTTCCTCCTCCAAGTATCTTCCCATGCTGTTCCTTATTCCTAAAATGCCCTTCTCTCATCTCCAATTCTCAGAATCCAATAGCCATCTTTGATGAAGCTTCCCTGATTTCTCCCATCGTCCCTCACCTGCCTCCCCCACACATTTTGCCTTTCTCGGAATTGCCGTAACAATTCAGTTGTATTTCTCTGACATTGCACCTAGAGTAATGTATGTTCTTCTCTTATTTCCCTCTTAGAATATTAAGTTCCTCAAGGTCAGGAACTATATCTTAATCACCTTTTTATCCCTCAAGCACTGCACCTTACACAGAGTATAGGTGGAGCCAACATTTGTTAGATTGGATATGTTAGAATTCAAGCATCCTTCCACCAAGTTGTAGAATTTCTTCCTTTGGGGATGGACCCCTCCCATTATCCAACTGCTCATCTTTTACTCTTGGGTCTTCAGACAGATGACTGTTTTTGCCCTAAGACAAGGGATAAAGAAGAAATGCAAAACAGGTCTTAGAGCTAATCAATTGGAGATGGGATCTAGGTCCTGACTTTGAGTGCCTACTCCATTTCATTGACTTATCCCACCTCCTACTTCATTCCCCCAGTTTAGGAGTTGATCATCTCAAAGTGGCAAAACATCCCAATCAAACAACCTTCTCCACAATGAGGTTGAGGTGGCCCAACCAGTTCCTGGTGTAATAGGGAGGTGCTGGAACATGGACTAGTGCTACCAAGACAAAGCAAGACCTTATTTAAGAGTGGGCCTCTTTACCCAACCTGATGCAATGCACACAGGTGGCAGGCCTCGAGTGGGAGGGCTACAGTCATTCATGAACAATCTTTATGAACCCCAGAAGCACTTCAGTTCAATTATCATGCGGCCCCACAGCCCAATCCCTGACACCTATCCCTCTTTAGCCTTAGGAAGCCTCCTGTTTTTATAGAGCTACCTGAGTAGACAATGCTTAAGGGACACTCACTAAGCACAGATGACCTGTGACAGTGGATGCAATGTACAGTTGGTTCTACTGGAGGGGACAAGTGAAAAAATGACTGCAGTGGGTGGAACACCTCCCCAAAAAGTTTTCTGGAGGACACAAGTTTATATGTGTAATGAATTCTTACTAATTAATTAACAGTGACCAAAGGAGCTCATTAAACACCATTCTGTCAGCATAAAGTCAACTCCAGGAGTAAAAGGAATGAAAAATCAACAAAAGAGAACTGCTATTGTAAAATCAACTCTACTTAGATATGCTAATGTAGGAACACTTTGGCATCTAAAGCAACAGGTGATCCAAACACCTCTAAACGCCATTATCTATTTGGCTCTAGAGTTCTTTAGCAACAAATTGACTTCCCCATTTTCCTCTCCACCTAATACTAGTGCTACTAATAATGATGTTAGCCAATTTATTGATATCTTACTATGTGGCAGGCCTTGTGCCAAGTGCTCTAAATGCATGATCTCATTGAAATGTCACAGTGGTTCTGTGAGGTAGGCACTATAATTATCCAAATTCTTTAGGTAGGGAAACCATAGCATATAGAGATTAAGTAATTTACCCAAGGTCACACAGACAGTGTGGCAAGGCCCATGTTCAAACCCTGGGATTCCAGAGCCTCCACCTGTACTGGCTCTTTGCTATGCTATGGAGTAGTGTCCTAAAAAGGGCCTCGGCCAGCCCACATACCACCTTGTGTGAATTAGACCCATGCCCTGCGAGCTGGGGGGCAGGCTGCATTTGGTCCCCACTAGCCAACTTGACCAGAGGTCCTTTGTGGTATGCAGCCTGCACAGCCATAGGTGGCAGCTCTGAGCATACGTGTATTGATCTCAATAAATCAAATTGTAAACTCTTGGTAAAATGAAAACAGAGAACTAAGAGATTATGCCCCAGAATGAACCTGCAATTGCCTCAGTTTCCAGATGCCTCATATAGTATGAGCTTCTTGCCACACCAAGCATGTATTTAATGATATTTCTAGTTTTGTTCTAATGTTTAAAGTTCCAGTGTTTAAAGATAGGTACTTTTTAATAATGTCTCTAAACACAAGCTAGCTACTTCATGTGCACAACCAAAGAAATTCTGTTCTTGTGCTGGAGAAAAAACTAGGTGTGCTAGACTTTGTTTCAATTTGGTACCTTCCTGTTAGAATTTTGGCTTACATGACTTATGCTGAAAGTGCTAACTAATGTCTCTCTCCAAGCTCCTTGACATTCCCCCATCTATTCTGCCTCAGTGAGTTTGTTTCCTGAATGTCCTGTGTCCAGTGATTGAGCAAATGGGGGGATTCTCACTGGGAGAGGATCCCAGCAGTTCAGGTAGTGGCTGGCAGGGTAATGGGCATGGGGTTTAGCATTGCTTTGGATACATCACATCAGGTTAATGGCCAGGCAGAGCCACAGAGCTGGCTCTGCACCAACCCATTTCCAAGTCTGGTTTATCTCCTAGCCCTCTCTCTGAGCATACCAGTAAAGCCCTGTTTTCCCACAGGCCAGCACCCACCCTCCCTCAGATATGCCAGAACTTGAGTGTGGGTAGAAGGTGAGGCCGAGCCCTGATTGCTACATCACAGACACACCTAGGAGCTGGGGACTGGCCTCCTGGGTTCAGGGAACAAATGGGGGATCTGAAGGGACGCACACTGGAGCCTCGGGGCCTTGGTGAACACCCAGGTGATAAGCCTTGGAGAGAGAGGGGGCCGGGGTGAGGGGTGGTGGGGGCATCCCTGTCCCGTCCTTGTCTCCCTCTGCCAGTGTTATTGTCATGCCCAAGAAAGCAGCCACTTTGCCCAGCAGGTCTAGTTTTTTCCTTTGCCACCCACCCTCTGCCCCTGTGTATCCTTTGCTTAAACTTCTTTCAGGAAGACTTCCTGGACTAATCCAACTTAATTCTGATCCCTCTAGTTCATAAATATTTATTGAGCAGCCACTTTGGCTCTTGGTGCTAGGGATTGAAGATGGACATGATACCAGTCCTGTGGAGCCTATTTCTGGTGGAGGAAACAGATCATAATCTAACAAAAAAATTAGGAAACAAGATAATGTCAGAGAATGACAAATTCTATGAGTAAGTTAAAATGATAGTGATCATGTATGTATGTAGCCTTGGCTAAGCTGGATTGGGGAAGGCCGTGTGAATTTAGATCTAAAGCTCCAAACTTCTGAAAATCCCGGGATCCAGAGCCAGATAACAGCAGTGTTCCCCAAGGGCCTGTCCCAGCAGGTCCAGATGATACTGGAGAGGGAGGCCAGAGCCAGGTCACCCCAAACCATGCTGAGGAGTTGGGATTTAATTGTAGGGCTAATGAAAAGCTTGCAGAGAATTCTGAGCAGGGGATCCTTCCTGGCTGTCATGAGAGAATGGATTATAGGGAAAATTTGAAAGAACATAGGAAAGTTGCTTCGGAGGTCCAGACAGGAGAAAGGAGTGGCCTGCCCTTTTGTTAAAGTCTTTTACACAAGAGGGCCTGAGCCTGCTTCAGATGGTACTTTAAACTTTAAAGGGATGCTTTCAGCCATGTTGACCACCTCAGCTTCTCCCTCAATCCCTCAGGGACTGGTTCCAGCTGTTTCTGAAATCTCACCTACACTCGGGGAAGCTAGCTGTCAGTCAGCAGAAAGGGTTGAGTGTTGGCCCTGGGACAGCTGTGTTCTCCCGCCCTGTGGCTGCAAGGAGGTACTGCAAGGCTATCCCTATACAATTGAAACCCAAGACAAATACAAAGCAGTAGCTCCAATTCAGGGACATAAGGGAGAAGAGGATGCAGAGCTAAGGAGTAGTCCTCCTCTCCCTTCCAGTCAGGTGGATTTGATCACGTCGGTTTCCTCAAGTCCATTTCCTTCATTTACTCAACATTTGAGGCCGACCCTACCCTGTGCCAAGCCCTGTGCTAAGCACTGAGGTTGGCACAGTGACCAAGGAAGACAGGTCATGCCCTCAGAACACTTGCAGTCTCAGAGGGAGTCACTTGGGTTAGCAGAGTGTCTCATGTCCTGCTTTTGCTCCTGGTTCCTGCAGGATGTCAGAGGTGATGATGGGGGCTCCTTAATTTGACACACAGTGTGGCCTTGATGGGACTTTGCCTCAGAGACTCTAACTGGAGAGTCTCCAGCCCTGTCTTCAGGGCTCCTGGGCTTATGATAAGCCTGGGTTCAGCCGTGCCCTCTGCCGGTCTCATTGGTACATTACTGGAGTAGAAGTGTTCTGCTGCCCCTCTGTGTCCTGGAGACACAGGGCTGCTCCGTGTGAGATGCTGGATATGAGCTGCCCCACCTCCCTCCCCACCGCCATCTTCCTAAAATGTCAACCCAACGGTCCCCTCACCCACCCCTCGCTGCATTTAGAGGCCAAGGCATATTCTGCACCTACCCCTTGCTCTTGTTCCTGCCCTCTCCTTGGCCCTCTGGGATTGGTCTTCTCTGAATTGGTTCTTTACACCCACTTTCTGATTTGCAGGCTAGCAAAACATCCATGGCCACTTCAAGGGCAGTAAGCTCAGTATTCAGATATAGGTTGGGCAAAGATCATTTTTACAGATGGGGAAACTGAGGCCCAGTGAGGTCAGCTAGCTACTTCCTGTCAGGACTACCCAGGTCTTATCTCTCAGCCCACCATTTTGTATATCAGTCTCAGGAGGGAGGCAGATTATCTGCCCCTAATTCAGTCTCCCATCTCCCTGATCCGGGCCATCAGTGTAGTGTTAAAGAATAAAATTCACGAAAGTCTTAGAGAAAAAAAGATTCATGTTTTATTTCCACAGAGAAACTCAAAAGTGGGACACTCCTCCTGAAAGATGGTCAGTGACTTCAGGTCACACATGGAGTAGGTAGAAAAAGTGGCTGGTTTATTTGATGAGGCTGGTGGTCAAAGAGACACCACATGCGTGGGAAGAAACAAAGGACAGGTCCCCAACCTAGAAAGAGCAGGTGTCAACACCCAGACCAGGGCTGGCCCGGAGGGAGAGCTGGGGGAGGGGCGTGGTTGGGTTCCTCGATGATTGATGTTTCTCAGGGTCTCAGGCATAATTGGGAGTAATTTTCTAGGAGAAAAGAGAAAATGGTAGAATGTGACCACTTCCAATCTGTTGAAACCAGACATCCTATCTTTTTGTGTTATTTCATTATTAATATACTAGAAGCCCAGCATGTGAATTGTGCGGCCCTGCCCACCCACCAGCCCAGGTCTTTGGTCGTTTCAGCTTTAGGGTCACAGGCCTTTTATAATATAGATATTTATAGAACAAAATAGAAGTGTCCCTGCCCCTTCATTCCCCGCTTTGGGTGGGGGTAGGGGTGGGACACCGTTGTGAATAGGTTAGTGGCACCCAGAACTGAATGTCATATTCTTGCAGCAAGAGTGAGACTTCCTCTCTGAGCCTCAGTTTCGTCATCTGTAATATGTAAACAGTTATGGCACCTTTTCCAGGAATTAATAGTATGGTACAAACAAAGGGCCAATCACAATGCCTGTCACATTTAAGTGTTTGCTAAGTGGTTGTTCTTTGTGTTGTGCTTTTTTAATCTTTATTGTTGAAAGTCCCCTCCACTACAGATGCCCCTCTTTTTTTCTCATTGACCCCAACACGACCACCACCACACATCATCCTTCCCAGGTCTTCCCTGCACTAGTGTCTGTGTCCATGGGCTATGCATATATGTAGTAAGTTCCCCAGTTAATCTCTCCCTACCCTCCATCCCCGCCTTCCTACTAAGATTCCATGTTTCTATGTCTCTGGGTCTATTTTGTTCATCAGTTTATTTTGTTCATTAGATTCCACATATGAGTGAGATCATGTGATACTTACCTTTCTCTGATTGGCTTATGAAACCAGGCATCCCTTCATTGGGCTTCTGCATTCCCACAGTTGCTTTGTGTCTTAACTATTTCACCTGCCATCCCCTCACTTTTCTGTCCCCTAAAACAGGCTATGTGGTTCTGCCAAGTTAATCTATTACCTCTCCCCCACTGGGAACTCACTTCTTCCTCCTGCCTCTGACCCTTTACACCTGAAAGGCTCACCTCTCTGCAGTTGCCCTGCACAATTACTATCCCAGTCCCTCTCCTTAACCTAGTGTGCCATTCTTCTCATATCTGTTCCTGCACGGTCTCCCCTCCAACAGGCCTTCACTCAGCACTCAGAGGTGCTTTCTGAGTAGATCATATCTTGTAAGTTTTTCTTCACACCCTCACATTGGACTCACTTTCTCAGGACCCTTAGAGTTCCCACCCAGAGCAAAGCAAGTGCCATGATCCCAGCCCTGCCCCTGGGCGATGGTGCCCCAGCTCCTGGATGAAGCTGAGCATGGCTCACTCTAATACTCACCTACCAGAACTTCACCCACTGCAGCAGGCCAGGTCGCGCCCGGGAAGCCTGTGGGACAGGGAGAATGTCTGAGTGGACATCGCACTTTCCCCTGCACAACCTCTGCCCTCAGACCCCTTTTCTCACAAGCCAATTTTCTTAGCCCCGCTACTTACCGAAGAAGAAAGCGTGACTCCCCCCTGTAAAGAGATGATCAGAGTAGGTGATACAGGTGCTACAATGACCTCCCTGGACTCTGCCATGTTCCTGGTGCTCAGAAAGGGCTCAGTGGAAGGGGCAAGATCAAACCAGTTTATCTCAAAGCTCCTTTGGGTCTGACTGTAGACATTCAGCCCATGGAAATTTTTTCACAGCACAATTTATCATCTTAAGGACACGTTACCCAAGATGATACTGAATGTGGTCCCTTAGCACACTTTGCCCACAGGAAGTGAATGAGAATAGGTAGGTCTCCCTCTGCCTGCAAGGCGGATGGAAATTAGCCACAAATAATTGGCAAAGTGGACACCCACAGGCAGTATGGACTGCCACTTCACCTGTCAGCAGTGAGTTTCTGATCTCTCGGTGGAAGGCCTCTCCATGAGAACAGGGCTTTACTGTTCTGAGAGGGGGAGGGAAATACCACCTGTTTTTGCTTCACCAGCCCAATTAGTATTTAGCACATTTATTTACTGACTTTATAAGACTGCTTTCTTTGCAACTGAATACAACAAAATTCTCAAATGTTCTTCCTTTCAGTTCTTTGGGGAATGAAGCATTTATTCTCACCAACCAAGAGTTCCTGGGCTAGCTTCACCTAACCTCCTCCCCCTCTACCCGCACCATGCCCAGAAGGTCAGCAGTTGAAGAGGTAGAGAGTGGATGCTACAAAGGAAGGCAGCCTGTTCTGCCATGCTTCCTGTGATTTTTCTAAGGAGCATATACTGGGATTTCTCTTTGAGAGGGTAATGGCTCCCAGTTTTCTCCATGATGTAGCCACTGCTCCCTTGTAACCTTTTCTGAATGTGGGTGCAATGAGTCTTGAACCTTCTTCCTTTCTCTAAGAGCAGTTTGGAAGTGCAAGACAGAAGGTGTGGAAAGAGATGACTTTCTGAGTGAACAGGATTTGGCCTCAGCTAACCCCCATAGAAGAGCCTGGCAGCGAAAGCCTCCCTCCCTCACCTCCATGCAGAGACCCCAATGGGAAAACAGGGCAGTTGCAAGTCTTACCTTAGCGGGGGCCTTGGCGGAGTACTGCCCGCCAGACGCAGTAGGATATGCCTGCTGGTTATAATTGTAGTTCTGCGGAAGAAAGCAAGGGTGGTGGGTAGTGGGGGGTGGAGGACAGCACAGAAGGGATGAAACCATTTTTTCTCTGGAATAAACACCCAACTTCCCTGCCCTGGCTGGACCTTTCTCAAAGCCCCTGCCTTCTCCTCCTCCTGGTGTCAGGTGTCTTCTTTTCCAGAATCCCCTTCAGCCATCCAAGCTCACACGCTCACCTCCTTATGGTCCCAGCCCAAATGGCTCTGCCTTCTTCCCTCTCCCAATTCCAGTGTTACTTGGGAGGTTAGGAGAAAAGACCAAGGAAAGAAGTGAGGTCTAAATCAGATGGTCATGTGGCAGATATCTTACCTTAGACGTTACAGCTGCTACCTCTGGCCATCCTGCACCAGGCTGAGAAAATTACAGAACAGAGGAGTGAAGGAGGAGAATATGATGTTGGCCAGACTGAGGAACAAGACTGAGAGAGGCTGAGGATCTCCAAGGTCAGTCTGAGGGCAGAGACTTACCTGACCAGCACTGCCTGCCCTCTTCTGAAGTGATGATGATGAATAGTTACCCTGCAAGAAAGGGGGCCACAGTTAGAGTGTCTCCACGGTCCTCAGGCCTTGCCAGACTTGTGGGACTCCAACATCCTGCTGCCTGGGCGCTGCCCTCCTTCTGGAGCACCCGCATCCCACCTACCCGGCTCCGTCCCTCTCAGTGGCCCATGAGTGCTGTCCACAGAGAGGGCAGTGAGCCTGGAGGAAACTGATGGTCCAGATAGATACAGATGATAGGTTTCCACACTCAGTGCTGGGAAGTGAGGGTAGCGAACTGGGTTTAGCAACACCATCCCCACCCAGGCACCTGGAATGTTGGCAGGCTGGCCTGAGACTGAGCTCGAATGACAAATGTGTGGTGCCCACACAGGCTCGCATTTTGCTGATGCCAAACCCTGCTCCCCGCATAGGCCCTTTTATCCCTGTTCACAATGTTGTTTGTGAGGCAAAGGGGAGTGTGTAACGTTACCTCTGGGTCACACTGCAGATGCACTACCCTCTCCCTCCCCCAGGTGAAGCAGGGAAAATTCCTAAGCAGTGGGAGAGAAGTTCAGTTCCTTCCATCAGCACTTCTCTACTAGGACACACCACCAACACCACACACACAGGGTTAGGGTGTTCTTCTTAACTCTGACTTAACTCCCTACCCATCCTCACCTGACATTGAGTTTTAGCCCTAATACTGAGGTCACAAACTGGTTGGTCACAGGCCTCCAGACATTTTTTACTTGGTTTGCATTTTTAAAATTGATTTCGTTATAAGCAATTCAATATCAGATTTCTAACTTTTCTTGAAGAATCAGGTGATGTGGTCACACTGGGACTACATGGGTACATGACAACACTCAGCTGGAAGGCCTTGGCCTCCTCCTTTGCATGGCCCCACCTGTCCAACTTCAGGTTCCTGGCCCATGTGTGAGTAAATGGGCAACTCTTGCCTCAGTGCCTAAGAGATCTGGTTCTTGAAAAGGCCACTGGCCATGCAGAACCAAGGTGTGGCTTTCTGAAGTCCTGCCCGTCCTTCTCAGAATGCAGATATTCAGACCCTGTGCACTTGCCTGCAGTTAACAATGACTTGATTCCCTCCCCCCCATCCCATACCTACTGTTTCCCTTCAGCTTTTTTCCCTAGTTCCCTCCCATTTCCGGTTCTGAGGTCCTTCCCTCTTCTCAACCTCCTGGTCCCCATCACCTGTTCACCCTGCAGTACCCACCCAGCTGTGACTCCCCCCATGCCAGGCCAGGCCCAGCAGGAGCAGCAGCAGAGCAGAGACAGTGGCCAACTTCATGTGCCCGGAGCCTGTGAGGGCCCCCACCCTTGGCCTGGGCTTTTATCCTAAGGAGGACCTGCCATCCTGCTCTTTCTTCAGTGACTCACAGCTTCTCTCTCACACCCCACCCCCACTCAGCATTGCATAAAGGAAAGTGGGAAGGGAGGGAGGCACCCTCTCTCACAGAGTAAGGAACTGGCACAGAATCTGCAAGCCATTGTCAAGAACCCAGCACCCCACATCCCCAGAGCTGAGCTTCCTGACCCCAAAACAAGAGGTTCTGCCGCTCTTACCTCAATAATTTCCTTCCAGTTCAAAAAAGGAGTATTGTGTTTGAAATCCTGGAAGAAGAAGGAGAGATGAGTGGGCCACAGAGAGACAGAGGGTGGAGTGTGGCAACTCATTGGGAAAGTTTCAAGACCACGCACAAGAATGGGTTTTGGAGCCCGGGTATGGTTGGGGTTAGATGAAGATACACTTATTAGAGGTGTTAGAATTTTTGAGGGTATTAGTGATAAGATTTGGACGACGTTTCCCATCTCCAAAATAAACAGAGGGGGAATTTTGTGACAGGAGCTGGGGTTTGGCTGCCTTGAGGGAGATAGAGAGAGGGACAGGATGACCAGGGTCCCAGTTCTTTAAAAAGTGAGAATTGTCCTACCTCCCAGAGTCGGCTGAAGTAGAGAAGGGCTCGAGTGCTGGGGGATGGGACTTGGCCCTGTGGATGAAATGTGGGGAGCAGGTTAGCAGAGAGCCTGACCCCCTGATCATCTAAGCCCCTACTCCTGCTCCCATCATTTTTCGGTCTTCATAATTGCACTATTGACCAAGATTTTGGGGGAAGCTGGGTGTCTTTAGGGACCAAAAAACTATTTTTGCAAGCAGAGGAAGAGAGAAGCTAGATCTCTGGAGCCATTAACCGTCCTTTCCGCCTCTAGCACACACAGAGTGTTCTTCTCTATCCCATTTCCCCTTCCTCTGGCTGAACATAACTGTAGCAAAACCTCAAGACTAAGACCTGCCCACAGAGCTTCCTGCCTTTTCACCAGCCATGCCACCTCCAGCCCATTTCCCAAAGCTGTGGGGCTTAAGTTATCCCTTCCAAGCCCCCCCGGAATAACAGTTGAGACGTAAGAAAGGAGCAGACACCAGGAGTGTGGGGCAGCTAAGGTTTATTTCAAGGGCAAAGGTTGAGATTAGTGGTGAATAGTGTTTTTTTAAGAAAGGGTGGGGGTCTCCCATCCATCTGGTAGCTCCTTGTCTGGAGGTCACGGGATGTGAAAGCTCCTCTCGTCCTGGGCAAAGAAATGGGTTCTAAGAGGGAGCTCAAGGAATAGGACTTCAGAGAGTAATGGAAAGTCAAGGTTATATTAGACCCCTGCTCCAGAAATCTGCAGGGACCTTTTTGAACCACGGCTGTCATCCAGTCAACCCCAGATATTCCAGCTTGAGCTTGAAAACTCTCATACCTTGCCAGGAATGTTATGTACAGCCCCCCTGTCTTCACTCCTCACTCTGTAGGAAGTCCTCAGCACCTCACACTGCACTGTGAAGGAGCCAGAGCTCACCATTTTCTTCTCTGCCCATCTCTGTTCTGTCCCTCTTCTGAGATCTGTGCCTCTGGGAAGTCACCCCAGATGAATCCTGCCTGACTGCAGGCACTCACTGTACTGTGCCCTCTAGATGTGCAAAACGCTTGGCTATCTGTCCTGGCCCTCTGGGAGGTGTCCGTGTGTGCCCGAAGGTCCCCATGCTCAGGGGCTGGCTTCCCCAGAAAGGAGTTCACAGTAAGGAGTCTTGCCTCACCAGAGATTGTGCTTCTAAACCAGAAACAGTCTATTTTGTTCATTTAGCTCATGCGCACCAAACTGTGCTACATCTGGGAACATCTTCTGTCTGTATCTTCTGTCTTCCACTCCCCCTTATCCCAAAGGGAAGGCTTTGGCTTTCCTGGGGTTTGGGCTGCCTCTTTGCTTCCCCCTATCAGTACCCTTTTTCCCCCACAAGTTTTGGAGGACAGGATCCTAATTTTCATTCTTTTAAGTTAAGGCTTAGAAACTCAACTGAACACGGCCAGTCAGGTGGCTAGAATGGCTGTGATGGGCAGGGGGAGTCTGACTGCTAGAGAGCAAGTCCCCACGGCAAGAAGCAGCTGCTACTCAGCTTTAGTTTACTGTAGCCCATGGAATGGGGCCTTGTGTTGACAAATTTTTCAATAGAAGTCAGAAATCCAAGTCATTTTGTAAAGCCTATACATTTTTAAACTTTGGCAACTGATTCATATTGTGTGTGTTTTTTAACATATCCATAAAAATCACATAATTGGGCTGTCAGTTACAGCTTTTGCTTTTGGTATTTGTTCAGGTTTGTCTGCTCTCATCCTCTCCTTCCAGTCCACTCTCTCTACTATTCTGGTGTCGTGTTAGCTTGGCCAGGGGTTTCCCTACAAGAGGAGGGGGTGAGCAGGGAGGAAGAAGACAGGGCTCCAGGACTCCCTGTGTCCCCTAATATTATGTAAGTACAGGGCACCCATCAGGCACTCTATAAATGTTGGCTTTCTCCTTCCCTTCTCTCTCTGTGTCAGTCCTCATGTGGCCTTTTAGCTCCACCTGACTATTCAGTCCACCCTCCCACCCTGGCCTCTGCTACCTCTCCCATTAACCTCCAGGTCTCGGAGGGGAAACTGAGGTTTAGACCTCTGCAAGTCTGCATGTTAGGATATGAAAGAGGCCCATTCATTTCTCATCCTCAATACCCAACTGTTTGCAAAGTCTCCCTCTCTTCTTATCTCAGTTGTTCTTCCTCCTTGTTTTTGTTCTTTTTTTTAGCACTAGCCAAAATGCTCTTCATGGCCATCATCATTATTTCACCTGGCTCAGAGGTTTAGCTTTCTTCTCTATATTCCTCTCCCACAAAGATCATATGACATGGCCTTCCAGCCCTTACCTTGTTTATGGCATCCCAGTTAATGAAGCCCAGCTTGGCTTTAAAGTTCTGCAGAGAAGAGAAAAAAGAAAAAAAGGAGACCGGTCAAATTGGATCATAATAATGTAATTGGCTTGGAGCCTCAGGACAAGAGAGGTCAAGGACCACCACTGACAGTAGTTATAGAAAGAGGACTTCATCCTGTGAGGTCAAGGGGACAGGATTTTGGCTTTCCAAAAGAGAATGAATGAGCAGAGCAGTCTTGCTGAACTCACCTTCCAGAAAGTGTCGAAGTTGAAGGGCCCAGAAGTCTGAGAGTTCTAAGGAACCAATGAGAAATGGGATGAGAGTAAGAACACACTTCGTGAGCAAGAGGCAGGGGCAGGAGCTATGGATGTCTGGAGGGTCCTGGCTTAAGGTGGGGTGATGCCTCCACTCACCAAGTTATCGATTCCACCGACAGCTTCACCTCCCCCACTGGACCCTTGCCCCTGGGTGGGAAAGGGGACTGATGTTCAAGGCTCATGCATCTTGTTATGCATACCACCCATCAGCCTGCTCCTGGCCCACTCATCTTTGCCTTTGCTCAAGCACCATGAACCCTCTGTAAAGCCACCTCTCTTCTTTACACAGCACCTAAGAACCCCACCTCCAGAAAGCCTTCCTGGAATGACTCATTATTTGCTGCCTAGCATAAACCTACCCGCTTCCTAATATATAGCCTCACTGTGTGCCAAGCACTATGTCCTTTGTGGAGATGTCTCCATTTGACAGATGAGGAAACTGATACTCAGAGCTGTGCAGCAGCTTGCCTCAGACCTATCTCCAGGCCAGGGTTCAGTGTCTGTATCCTAAGCCCCCTTGGTCGGGATATGATGCAGAAAGCTCTGCAGTAGCTGTGGGGGTGAAAAAGTTGGGCTTCACAGTGCCCATTTTATCCAAGAGGAAGGCCAGACTCACAAAGGTCAACTGACTTGCCTGATCACAGATGACAAGTGATCTCCCATTTCTAACTCAAAGTTCACTGCCTTTATGCTTCTCAACACTGCCTTCTAAGTATGATTTTTAAAATCCCCCTTAGCTAGCCATTCTTCTGTTATTTTAATCTGTTTTTTTCCCCTCACAGAGGTAATAGGATTGTGATTGCAGTTGTAAAAAGGGAGAGAATGGGTGAATCAAGGAGAATGACAGGGATCCTGGACCGCTGTTGATCTCCTGGCAGTCACCTGACAGATTCAGAGAAGCTGGCAAGAAGAAACTGATATTTCCCTTTCTTTTCCCAAGCCCTTTGCATTCTATCCCCACACTCCACCATCCCTTCTCCTAAAGACATCCCTGCTCACCTGATAATTGCCTTGGGAGTTCCCAAGGAGGCGACTACCTTCCCTGCTTATTCCCTGAGGAGAGAGAAAATGGAGAAGAGTTGGTGGGGAGGCAGGCAGGATGAGAGGTGAGAAGTAGGTAAAGGATTTCTGAATCGGGGGACTGAGGCAGGAGGAGGGCGGAGTCCTTCCCAGGACCCCAAGAGAGGCCCTTCTCTCTGGGTAGCTCTATCTTTCCTGGCAAATCTTGTTTCACCCCCTTGTGGATGGGGCTACTTCTCACTTAGGATGCTCATTGGTACCATCACCATCTGTTTCTATTCAGTCTGCAAGTTGTCCACAGTTCAGTGGGAATAGCCTTTGCCACCAAGTAGGAACCCGCCAGGCTGCTGTACTAAATTAATTCAAAATGCAGGCTGGGCTGATGTTTTGCTTTAGTCAGAAAGGTGATGCCCGCTGGAAGAGTCCCTGGGATATGAGGCGGCACAGAAGTCAACTGCTAGTCTCCTCCTATGGCAGAGGTCCGCTCCTTTTGAGTTTTGCTTTCACTGTTTGGTATGGATCCCAGACCCATCGGCACCTCTTCATTCCCAGAGCTAAAATCTAGACCAGGCTGGGAGGTGGAACTCTCTGCCCTGTTAGTATTGCCGCTGCCACAGTCCCTACTCTCCTCACCCTGATGTCGCCAAGCCGCTGGGGCCTCTGAAGCCCTGAGGGACAAGACAGTGAGACACAGGTTATTGTTTTACCAGGTCCATCCCTACAAATTCATATATGATTTAATATGATTCCTCTTAAAATCCTAATGGAAATCTCTTTGGAACTTGTCAAAATCATCTTGAAGTTCATTTGGAAGAATAGATGCCTAACAATTGGTAAGAAAACACTGGAAAAGATGAGCAGCAAAGGGACTTGTACTGGCAGATATTAATGTACTATAAAGCTACCATGAATAAAACTGTGGTTCCTGTCCCAGAACAGATCAACCGATTAATAGAACCCCCAGAAGCTCTCCCCAAATATTAAGGTATATATACATGATGTTTTAAATCAGTGGTAGAAATGATTGAATACAGGGCTGGGAATACTAGTTATGTTTTGGGGGGAAAACTTATTTATACCTCACAGTTTCCTCCATTCTGTTTTTATCTGATTGTCCCCTACAGTAGCTCACAGATCAGATTCAAAGTGTAGGGCCTGCCTAGTTGGATCCAGGAGTGGACTAGACAGAATACACCAGAATACCGCCCAGGTGGATTAAGAGTTAAGTTTAACAATGAAACTATAGAAGTGTTAGTAATGCTAGAAGAAAATAAAGACCTTTATTTTCAAGAGAAGACACCATAGAAAAACAGACTTTGGTATGTAAAATCTAGAAATAGAGTAACAAACTGGGAGACGTTTTCTTGAAACCTGTCTACCCATAAAAGATTACTATCCCCAATATTTTAGGAGCTCTTCAGAGAGCCTTGTCAATGTAGCATCATAGGGTCATGCTCCTCACCCTGCAGGCGACACACCAGGTGTTGCTGCTCTGCACCAGCCTCCCCCAGAGCTTGTTAGAAGCCAGGATCTTGGCAACACCCCAGAGCTGAAGCAGAACCCACTTTTTCACAAGACCTCCGGGCCATTCGTGGGCACCTTGGTGTAGCACTTCCTCTGTCAGTGCTGCAGGTTCTGACCGGAAAGCCCAAATTTCCAGAATAACTAGGAGGAGGATGCATGCAAACCAATGTCAAAGGGGTTAGCAAATTGTGTTCACTAGCCAGGTACAGGACATTTGAAACATTTATGTTTCTAAACGGACTGGTCTTCAGGTGACTTTCACAGCCCTGTCTGTGGGGGTATGTCCCATAAGGATTTGCAATGAATTATTCCTTTGGAGATTGTTAGTAATTTTATGTGCTTGGTCTCTACCCCTAAATTGTAATTCCCCACAGACGTGGTTGGGGTGAAGATTAGCATTAGGAGCGGAGAGCAGAGCTGGGTTACAAGGAGTGGCACAGCGGCAGTGATGAACTGTGGTAACCACAAGTTTGGCTCTTACCTGACCCCCAGATCCTCCGGACACTCGGACTCCATTTCCTGGGTTGTCACACTGTGGGTGAGAGAAAGAGAAGACTTCCTCTCAGTCTTTACCCAGACGCCAATTCCAGCCCTCAAGTTGCAGTCTTTTAGCCTCGAGGTTCACGCACGTCAGCCCCACCCCAGCAGCGGTCCACCCCATTCTCAGCCCCAGCGGTCACTGTCCCACCATCCACGGGGCCTCCTCTGTTCCTTCCCACAGTTTCAGTTTCAGGGAGATCCATGCAGGTGCAAACCGTGGACACTCACCTCGGGTTTATTTCCACCACCACTTCCTCCGCTGCTTCCTGAGGAAGAGCTGCTACTGTGTTCCTACAAGGGAAAGCAAGAGTCCATCTGGTGTCGTCAAGGGACTTGGAAGGGACCAAACGATTCCCAGCCATGTTTACCCCCTCTGCCTGCCCTCCGTCTTCAGCCAGCCGTTCACTGAGGGAAGTTATGGGAGCACAGGGAAGACCAGGTGTGGCCAAGTGCATTTGGGAATGTGGGATAATCAGGGGATTCCGAGCTGTTGCTCCCACTTCCCACCACATGCCAGGGGTGGAAGGCCTCTGGAGCCTAACTGCACAAAAGTCCCCTGACACCTGAGGGCAGGCTGGCCTCGTGCTGCCCTGCCCCGTCTCTCCTCTCCCCTGCCCTCTCCTGGAACCTAGAAAGGGGAAAGGGCCACTGGCAGGGAGCCTGATCAACATGCCTAGAATTTTCTATGGGAAAATCAGATGGGGTAAAAGCCAGCAGTACAAAGAGCAGTGAATTAAAGCAGCTTATGTGATCTGGCTTGTTCTAGTTGCCTCCCTCCTCTTGCCCGACACCTTTCCCAGACTCCAAAGGAAGCCAGTAGTGTTCTCTCTCTTCAGGCCCCCCTCCTGGAGATCCCTCCTAGTCCAGCTGACAGGTTGTGGTCCCTTCCTGGTCCTTTCACCATCAGGGAGGGGCCTCGTGTGCAGCATCTGTATTAGTTCGCCTGTACCACAGCCCTGTAGTGCCTTAAGTCTCCACGTGTGCAGGCTTGCCCCCATTCTCCTGGCCGGGAGCATCCCTGACAAGTATTATGTTGTTCTGTGCCCACCTCTCTTCTTCCACTCGTCACCCCCAGCGGTAGTCAGATTTCCAAGTGGCCACAACTGCAGGAGTAGGGGTTAGACAGGAGAGAGAGGATCCCCACCGTCATGGAGCAGAGATAAGGGACAGAGTGAGCAGAAGTAGGGAGGGCACCTCTTCTGCAAGCCTGCTTGGTGGGGCTGGGAAGGTGGGAAACAAAGTGAAGGAGCCACAGGATGACACTGCCAGTGACGCCACCCACCCCAGGGCTGGCAGCGTTCAGGAAGGCCTTGGACCGCATCTCCTCGGCCGGGACCTCCACGGGCCTCAGCCTCATCTCTGCCTTTCAGCATAGGAGCAGAACTCACCCAGTTGCCCCCAGAACTGCTGCCGCTGCTACCACCATTGCCGTTGTTGCCACCACCACTGCTGCCACCGCCACTGCCGCTGCTGCCACCGTTGCTGCCGCCGCTGCTGCCACTGCTGCCACTGCCACCACCACTGCTGCCGCTGCTGCCACTGCCGCCGCTACTGCCGCTGCTGCCACCGCTGTTGCTGCCACCACTGCTGCTGCCGCCACTGCCACTGCCGCCGCTACTGCCACTGCTGCCACCGCTGTTGCTGCCACCACCGTTGCTGCCGCTACTGCCACTGCCGCCGCTACTGCCACTGCCGCCGCTACTGCCGCTGCTGCCACCGCTGTTGCTGCCACCACCGCTGCTGCCGCCACTGCTTCCCTGAGGGACCAGAGTGAGGACTAAAGGTGAGAACACCAAGATTGCTTCCCTCCATCCCCTTGCTCTCTTGCTCGGGCATATTCCTGCCCAGTCTGAGGAAAGAGAGTCCTGTTTTCTCCCTGTGCCCAATGCTTCAGGTGGCCCACCTCTTACCCAAGAGTTGCTAGAGCTTCCACTTGAGCCAGAGGGCGGAGGGTTGGTGCACTGCAGAAGAAAGGGGACAGGTGGGTTGTGAGGTTTCAGTTAGGGCCATCGCCACGCCAGGCTCTCCTTCCTCATGTGGCTCGGCTTTCTTTCCCAACGTGTTCCTCCCCCACCCATCACGTTGACATCCCGCTCTCCCTTGCCTCCTCTCCACACTCATCTCTCCCTGGCCAATCTGCCTCCCCATCTTTTTTTCCTCTTTGTCTCTCCTACTTTCTGCCACATGCACCCAGACACCCTCTCCTCCCCCCGACTCTTCCTCTTACCTCCGTATTTGGGTTGCTGTTGCCCCTCGCTGAGCCATAACCAGGTTGGGCCACAGCTCCCTGCAGGGAGGATGAGACTAAGTATGAGAGTGTGGGCCTGAAGGGGTGAAGGTGCAGGATCAGGGCTGGGTGCTTACTTTACCTGAGTGTTGGGTCCCAAGTTGTATGGCCCTCCATTGCCTCCTTGGCCCCAGGAGCTTCCCTGAGAGTTGGTTCCAAAGCTGCCACCTGAGCCTCCAGCGTGTCCACGGATCCAGGGATTGCCTGGGCCTTCGGGATTGCCCTGGCTGTGGGCTCCAATGCCACCCTGAGAGCCAAAGGTGCCCTGGCCTCCAGATGGAGGCTGGCCATTGGTTCCCTGCAAGGACAACATGCATGCACTTAGTGTGTGTGACCTTATCACTCATGATGGGGCAAGGCAGGCAGAGCAACTAAGATAGAGAGGAGCCAGAGCAGGGCATAAGGAGAGGCAGGGAGAGACCCCAAGGTGGTAGAAAAAGGATGCATAGCATGGACAGAAACTGCCCCAGACGGCCACAAGTAAGACTCCTTCACCTTTCCATTGATTCCCAAGATTCTCAACCCAGCTTCCTACAGTCTCCCGTTCCCACACCGAGCTTCCTTCCAGCCACTCACCCAAGCACCGTTGCTGCCAGGCATCCCCTGCCAGGAGCTGTGGGCAGCATCTATTCCATGTCGAATAATGTTCTCAGCCTGTCTGCCAGCCTCACTCCCAGTGTTTCCAAGAGCATGGGCTGCCTCTCCGGCCCCTTGGCCAATGGCCTCACTGATTCCATGACTAATGGCATCTCCTGCCGCATGTCCAACGGCTTCCCCAAAACCTGCTTCAGCGCTTGCCCCTCCACTTAACAATGGGCCAGCCTCCCCACTGCCCAGGTACAGGGCCAGCAGGAGGCAGGCCAGGGACCCCTGTAACTTCATCTCTGCCTCACTCCTTCTCCCTCCGAAGTGTCTTTTTCCCACCCAAGTTTCCTTCTGTTGGCCCTTTCTCTTCTCTGTGTCCGTGTGCCCTCCTCTGTTCTCTTTTTCCTTCTGACTTCTTGTTCTCACTCCTTCTAGGTCTGCAGCCTCCTCTCTCCTTTCCCAGACTCCCCTGCCTTCCCAGAGGCCTCCTCCCTGCCACTACTCCTTATACTGCAGCTTGGGAGAAGGTGACAGGGCTGGGCAGCCCGGAGTCCCTCCTCCCAGTGACTCAGGGCCAGCCACTGATAGGGTAATAAGCTGTAATTGTTGAGTCTGAAAGTCTATGTTGAAACAGAGAGGGAGCCCATGCATCAGGGAGGGAGGGAGAAATGGAATGAGATGGCTGCAAAGTGTTTCAGTTTCCCAACCCCAGGAATTTGGGGCGCAGGGTGGGGATGGGGGCACCTGAGGAGATAGTCTGTTGGTGTCTCCTAGAGGTGGTAGGTGGAGGGAAATTACAGGCCGGGCCCTACCAGTGGGGCAAGGATACGAAACTCAGTGGGAAAGGGGGCAGGTGAGTTAGGTGTCAGCTAGCCTAGGTCGGGGGCATCAGAGTAGAGTCAGGTGACTTTCTCTCAGTTTCAATTAGCCTTTGCCTCTCCCATTTCCCTTCTCCCCCAGGCTGCCATCTAAAGGTGCCTGCCCTCACCCTCTTCCACAACTCCGAAGAGCCTGGGAGCTATGAGACTGGCCTGAGGTTTCAGTAGAGACCCCAGGCCTCTGGGAAGGAAGTGGCCACGACCCTGAGAGTGGTCATCAGGGTGTCTCAGTTAGCATCCTGGTGGCTCTTGGCTAAGAAAGCTGGGTGTGGAGCAGGGCAGCTGGGCGGGCCAGCCGCCCCCAGGGAATGAGTGGGAGGGAAAGACCTTGGGAGGGAGCGGCTGACCCAAGCACCCATCCTGTTTACCTGTTACGGAAGGGACACGTGTGTGAGTTCATGGCCTCCTGGGAGGGCTAGGACTGCACCAGCTCACCCCACCCACCCCCAGCCTCCCCCAGGGGCCAGGATGACTCTGGAAAGGGAGGAGGGGTCAGCACAAGGGCAGGAACCCTATGTCAGCAGCATGATGCTCTGTGGGTCCCAGCTCAGGATGTGGAACTTGGTCAGGTCTCATCCTTGCTTAGCAAGCATGGCTGCCTCTGTACTCCCAGGAGTCCAGGCCCTCCCACTTGCCACTGCCTTGTATCACCACGACTCATAGCCCAGTTAGGAGGGGTCAGTTTCCATCTGCCTTTCTCAATGTCTCCCAGTTAGTCTCTCTCTCCACCCCAGCACCCACACCCCAACTTGTAACATTCAACACCTCTTACCATGTGAAAACAATCCCTGCCTATCCTCAGCAGCTCCTACCTCCCTGTTACTCCATCTCTGACTCTTCAATGATGATCATAAATGTGGTGGTAATAATAATAATAATAATAGTAATAATAATAATCATTGCAGCTCCAATCTATCAAGGGCTTTCTATGTGTCCAGCACTGGACTAAACACTTTAAGGCTCAGACAGCCCTGGAGATCAGTCTTATTATTACCCCATTTAGAGATGGAGAAGTTGGGGTTCAGAGAGGACATGTGAATGTGTGGTAGAGCAAAACCCAAGCCCAGCCTGCCTCTCTCCTAAGCCCTGATCCCCAGCATTTTCTGTCACCTCAGTATTTCAGACTTCCCCCTGTTTTTCAAAGCCCTCATTCTTCCCTGGATAAAATTGTTTTTGGTTTTGCCCTGGCATCTTGTGGAGGGAGGGGAGCAGGAGTAAATCTGAGGCCTTCAGAATTGGTGATGGAGACCCCAGTCCTGAGCCTGCTGCTTCCACTGGCCGAGGACAGGACCTTGGCAGGCAGCAGAGTGCCCACTGACTCAGAGTCCTTGCCACACTTCCCTCGTGGGACACACCTTCACAATGGCATACGTCTGCCCTCTCCCTTCTTTATTGCTAAGACTTTTCTTTAAGCTAGCTTACTTTCTTAATTTTAAGAGAATATTTTATATTGCTGCTGGAAGTAGAAAGCCAGAATCACTTGCCCATAAATAGAAAGTACCAGAAAAACATAGAGAGAAGCAAACAATGGTATTGCATCATAGATGGCTGCAGTTTCTGCATCCTCTTTATTAGCAAGTCTGGGAGATGTTTTAAGGCGCACCAGCACAGAAACTGAGTCTTTCTCTTTAACAAATCAGAAAGCTTCAAAGAAAATGAGAAAAGCGTTTCTCACTGAGTGGTTCAGAATGATCTAAAGCCATGTTCACAGACCACCTAAATTTTCCCCTACAACCAGCAGGTTCATGTTCTACCTCCTGAGAAAAACTGCCTCAGACATCTCTGTACCTGAGCAGTCATCTCAAATCAGTCTTAAGGCATAGTTATTATATACCCAACCCAATAGATGATGTGGTGCTTTCACATGCATGATCTCATTTAATCCTCACTATAACCTCAGGAAGGAGGTTATTCCCATTTTACAGATGAGGTAACTGAGGTCTAGAGTTTTAAACACATACACAGGATCATATGTGAAAAGATAATGGTAAAATGGAGTTGTCAGAATTTTACCCAAGTCTGTTGGACTCCAAACAGCTTTGACCCTACATCACCATGCCTCCCATGTTTTATATATGATAGCATCCACAAAGCTGTCATGCCCGCATCATGTCCACGACCCTCTGATTTCATCTTTTCTCTCTCGTTCACCACTTTATTCATTCAACAAGTATTTATTGAGTACCTACCCTGTGCCATGCCTATTCTAGGCATGGAACAAGATCATCAAAATCTCTTTCCTTAGGGAGCTCACATTCATTGTGGGGGAATTTGGACAATAAATCTCTCAGGTGGTGATGAACACTATGAAGGAAAACACAGTGGAGTGAGGGAATAGAGAAGACAGAGTGGGTATTTTAAATAGGGTGGTCAGGAAAGGGCTCTTTGAGATGTCACCAATGAGCTGAAACCCAAAGGAAGTGAGAAACTGAGCCAGGTGGATATCTGGGGATAGTGTATCCCAAGCAAGGAAATGGTTGTGCAGAGGCTTTGAGGCTGGAGCAGGGGGAATGGGAGGAGTTTAAATCAAAGAGGTAACCATTTTTTAAATTTAATTTACTGGGGTGACATTGGTTAATAAGATCATATAGATTTCAAGTGTACATTTCTATGGTACATGATTTATATAATGCATTGTGTGCCCGCCACCCAAAGTCAAAGTATCTTCTGTCACCATATATTTGGCCCCCTTTACCTTTTACTACCCCCCCCCCACCTCTTCCCTCTGGTAACCACCATACTGTTGTCTGTGTCTATGAGTTTCAGTTTTATATCCCACATAATAAGTGAAATCATATGGTTCTTAGCTTTTTGTGACTGACTTATTTTGCTTAGCATAATATTCTCAAGGTCCATCCATGTTGTCACAAATGTCAATATTTCATCTTTTTTATGGCTGAGTAGTACCACATCTTCTTTATCCAGTCCCCTATTGAAGGACACTTGGGTTGTCTCCTTGTCTTGGCCACCGTGAATAATGCTGCAATGAACATAGGAGTGCATATATCTTTGCAAATAAATGTTGTCAAGTTTTTCGGGTAGATACCCAAGAAGAGGGATTTTGGGGTCATGTGGTAACTCTGTTCTTGATTTTTTGAGGAACCACCAGACTGCTTTCCATAATGGTTATACCAGTTTACATTCCCACCAGAAGTGAATGAGGGTTCCCTTTTCTCCACAACCTCTCCCACATTCTAACAGGCACAAGGTGGTATCTCATTGTAGTTTTGATTTTCATCTTCCTAATAGCTACTGACGTTGAGCATCTTTTTGTATATCTGTGGGGCATTTGTATGTCTTCTTGGGAGAGGTGTCTGTTCAAGTCCTCTGCCCATTTTTTAATTGGATTGCTTGTTTGGTGTTGTATGCGTTCTTTATATACTTTGTGAAGAAGTAAACATTGTGAAGACTTTGACTTTTATCTGACTGAGATGGAACCAGCTGAGGGCTTGGAACTGAGGAAGGCTGTGATCTGACTTGGGTGTGAACAGGGCTCCTCTGGGGAACAGACTGTTGTAGGGAGAGAGGAGTACAGAGATCAGGGAAGGGGCTTGAGGGGGCAGGTTTGGAGGTTGAACTCAAGTATAGAGAGGAGAGGAGGCCTTGGGTCTGGACAGTGTTTCTGCTCCCTCCTAGGGGGTCCTAGGCCTCAAACTAGCACCTACTGGATCATCTCTTCCACAGTGTCTGTCCTGGAGTCTAGGTTGAAATTCTAGGTCCACCACTTACTAGCCATCTGTATAGCAATTTTAATCATCTGTATAGCCATTTCCTTCTCTGTAAGAGAGGTGAATGTGAGGGTTAAATGAGGTAATAATGCAAAGAGCATAGAGCAGTGCCCGGCACACAAGAGCACTCAATATATGTTGGGCGTGTTACCATTGTTGTTGTAATGCTTTCTTGACAGTTGTTTAATTTTGAGACATACACATGCACTTCCTGAAAGAGCCAAATATAGAAACTTATTTTTAAAGAGGACTTACTTTGAAGCAGCCCACTCCCCAAGGGTCCCAGGGAAGCATGCCACCTCACTAGCAGAGATCACCAGCAGGGAAGTGCTCTTGAAGAGAGCCCGCCATCACCACTTACTAGCTGGGTGGCCTCAGGCAACTCTCTCCCTTCCCTGAACCTCAACTTTATCATCTGTAAGGGGATAATCATGGTACCTGCCTCATGAGAGGTTGTGAGGCTGGAATGAATCATGTCTGTAAGGGCCTAGCATAGACATAGTAAGCACCCAATAAAGATGGCTGCCCGGTCCCGCCCAAAGTCCTCTCCTTGTTCTTCCACATCTGCAGAAACTGGCACCTCCTGTCTTTGTTACTCCCCAGCCCGGCTCCACCTACCTGTCTCAGGTGCCTCATTCTTGCTCGCATTTATTCCAAGGCCTTTCCCAAGTCTGCTCAAGCCTTCCCTCTACCAGTTGCCAGCCATGTGTGCCTAGCCTGACCTTTCCTTTTAAACCTCTTAGTCTAGAGGGAAAATGGATATGAAATAAGTAAATACAGGGTGTCCCCCCCAAAAAATATATATATATTGAAACAGCTGATTGCTCAATTTTGAGAATGAAATGTATTTTGATAAACATTGCCTTTATAATTATTCAAAGTTTGTGTACACATTTTGGGGGGACACCCTCTATATAACTACAAATTGTCATATGTGCTATGAAGAGAAAAAATCAGTGTACCATGAGAAAGAATAACAAAGGTGGTCTTTTGTTCAGATTGTGTGGTCAAGGTAGCTGAGACCTAAAGAGCGAGGAGGAACTAACATAGGGGACAAAAGAGACATGGAGGTTTTTACCTCTAATTCTCCTTCACCTTTTTCACCTATGCCCCCACCCCTCTCTCCTCTGGTAGCTATCAATTTGTCCTTTGTACCTATGTGTGTTTCTGTTTTGTTTGTTCATTTGTTCTGCTTTTTGGATTCCACATGTATTGAAGTCTTATGGTATTTGTTCTTCTCTGACTTATTTCACTTAGCATAATGCCTTCTAGGTCAGGTCCATTCATGGTCTTGCAAACAGTCAACTATACTTTAATTTAAAAGGGGGGAGCACATAGAGAATATTCCTAGCAGAGTGAACAGCATGCAAGGCCTCGAGGCAAGAATGTGCCATGCTCCTTTTACTCTTCAAAACCAGCTACAATCTTCTTTTCCAGAAGCCTCCCAGGGTTGACTCCCAGTACATAATGATTTACCCCATACCTCTTTGGCAAATATATTCAGCAAGAAAATGTGCATACAAATAAAACCAGTGCAAGTTTTTACTTTAGGACAGGATGATTCCCTTGAGTATTCCCTTTTCAGAAGGGAGTCCTCCAGTCCATATGAAACAATGTCCAGCACAGAGTAGTCTTTCAGTAATGTGTGCTATGAATGAATGCTTCTCTTTTAAAAAATGCAGGAAATAGATGTCTGAAATTTACTTTGAAATGCATAAAAATGTATTGATAGATGCCTAGATGGAGAGATGTGTGTGATTGATGGATGTGTGATAAAGCAAGCATAGAAAAATGTTAGTGGTAAAATCTAAATAGTGGGTATGCAGGTGTCCACTCTAAGGTTCTTCATCTTTGTGCTAAATTAGAAATATTTTCAATATAAAGTGTCAGGAACATCACCTTTATCGTGCACACCCTCCCTGGTGTGTTATTTGTTCTTACTGCTGCATTGCCTTGCATTTGTTTTCATATTCTGTTTCTATGCCTTGTCTCCTCAGGAAGCCTGTAAATTACAGGGCAGAACACTGTCTCTTTTTTTTCTTTTTCTTTTGGTCCCACCATTGATGGAATTTTGATGCTGGAAGCCATGTTTACAGTCCTCTTCTGCAAGCAAGCATCCTTGCTTTATAGAGGAGGAAATTAATGGCCCCTGTGGGGGCACAGGATCCTGATTGGAATGCAGGTCTCCCAGCAGGTTCTGGCAATAGGAAGGCCTGCTGCTTTCTCATGGGCCACCCAGGGCAAGTGCTCTGCACCTCTGAGCCTCAGTTTCCTCGTCCATACAATGGGGATCATAAGAGGACTTATGCCTTTGGGTTGGGGGAAGTTTAAATGGTTACAGAGCATGAGCACTCGTCACAGTAAGTGCTCAATAGGTAGAAGCTCTATGATGACTCCACAGGCTTTGGTCATCACAGATCTGAAAGCTGGGTCTCCTCCGTCACCATTCCTGCCTCTGTGAAGAAGCTCTCCCTCCTGCCACCAGTGTGCCTTTCCCCTGAACCTTTGGCCTTCCTCCCGGAGAGGGGACCTCCCAAATGCATGTCTTTCCTCTCTCCTTATTCACCGATTCCCATAGCTACTGATGCCAAACAAGGGAAGACCTCTTTGTTTAGAATATCCCTTGTAGCTGTTAGGCTGTTTCTCCCTCCAAATACTAGTCATGTTCTTAACCTGTGCAAGCCTCTACATGCTTCTCAATAAAATGGGGCAATAACAGTACCTCTTACCTAACTGGTTGGGAGACTTCAGTGATGTCATGCATGTAAAGCACCCGTCAGGGAGCCTAGCAGGCCTAAACTGCATAATAAGTCCAAGTAATCATTGTTATTCCTTTGGCACAACATCCCCTGAATGAGGATGAGGAGATGGCTTCTGCCATCTCTTCCCTGGTGTTTCCGCCCCCACTACTGGCCTGAAGTGGCTCGCCTTCATGATGCTCCTCCCAGTGCTGACCACGAACCTTGCACACTAATGGAACTCGGTTTGTCTCTCTAACCGCCTTCTTAGATCTGATCAGCCTGAAATCTCCAGCTCAACCTGTCCTGTACATCAGACCCCCAGCTCTCAGAATAGAAGCAAGAAGAGAAAAGACAAGCCTCCCCTCACATCCCTCCTTAGGAAGCATGTGGACCATAATGAGAGTATGTTGTGTCATATTTATTCACAAATCTCAGTACAGTTCCCTCAAGGGATGCCCGAAATCTACCCGCCCCCCATCCCTAGCTCCTTCAAGTCATTTCAGCTGATATGCCAACAGGAAAGCCAGTCTGCTCAGCAAGGCCAGTGCATCAGTTTAGGGAATGATGTCGGTGACGCTCTGGAAGAGAGAAGGAGATAGGGAGTGAATGCAGGGTATGCAGTCATAAGGGCAGTGAGACCTTTGCCCTCATATCCTTCCCTAGAGAAATGAGAGGGAGACTGGCTACTTTGGCCCAGTAATTGCCTATGTTCTTGAGAATATCTTAAGGAAGGTAGCACCTAGATTGAGAAAGAACAGGGAGCCAGTACTCCAGGGCAGAGATGCCAAGAGGGGGGACTCTGTAAGAACTGAGAAGCCTTGTCTGCTTTGCCTCAGAGAATCCCCTGCCACCCCATAGCCCGGGAATAAGCAAGGTGTGCCTCTGGGTTCCAGGAGCAGTCTAAAGAGCTGTTTGTTACACACCCTTAGCCTTCCGCCCAGCCTCAGGCAGCTGAGGTACTCAATCCAAAGAGTACAGCTAGGACTTTACTTTGGACGAGGATCCCATGGAAGTCTTGATTCAGGGAAAGGACAGAGCTACAGTTCCCACCACCCAGCATATTGCTGTAAGACAGCAGGGATGCATAGCAGGGGTGTTTACAGTAGGTTGAGGTAGGGAGGGAGTCACAGAGGAAATGATGAGGAGAGATGGTGGGCACATGGAGGGGATGGTTCCAGCCACCCCTCTCTCCCTGGCTCATAGATGCACATGTGCCACTGGAGGTCTTTTCTGCCAGCTTGTGTTTGCTTCAGTGGGAATGAAAAACACCCAAGAGGTAAACGCAGGATGCAAAGGGTAAGGAGCAGGTGAAGAAAGGGACAAGCAGGGCTGGGAAATGGGTTGCATAGTCTCTGAAAGGCTGAGAGTCTGTCCACAGTAAAGTTGTCTATGAGCAGGCAATGGGAAGGGCAATGTACAAACATCTCTCAAGACGGAGAGCAGAAACCTAAAACCATGTGGACACTTACCCTCCATAGAGCTGGAAAGTTGATGAAGGGCTTGTTGACCGAAGCCTGGAATTCAAGGACAAGAGGGTCAGTGCCCATCATCCACCCCAGCACCATCTTGGGAGGGCCTCCATTCCCCCACTTCCAAGTCTATGCTTTGCTCGTGAGACTTACTCCAGATGTTAATGTTGTGGTTGCGCCCCCTCCGTGATGGCCGGTGGATCCGCCTGGGTGACCGCCCTGTTGACAAAGCCCAGACCATCATTACAACCCCTCAATCCCTGAGGGTCTCCCAAGTTCCTTTTCCCCAGTTACCTGCTGCCCCCTAGGGTGACTAACCCACTATCCCTCACTGTCCAGAAAGAAACCCAAAAGCCTTGTTGCTGTGGTAATTCTGTAAGAGATGGGAAGAAAAGCCAGTAAGGATGTCTGCCCCTACTGACTACTCTTCCCCCCATTTCCTTTTATTTTAGTTAATGAGATGCTTTCAGTCCCTGAGAAGTGGCCTGGCTAGAAAGGGAACCCAGAAGACCCACACAAATGCCAAGACCATAGTTAACCTCAGCCTTGACCTCAACTCTACCCCCTTCACACACACTTGAGCCTGATCCCTAACTCAGGTTGATCCCTATCTTCAATCCTATCCCCAGATATTCAGCAGTGCCACTCTGCTGCTGCTGCCGGCATGGAGCCGTATCACAAACCTCCCTCTCCTGGTGAATCCTGCTGTCTTGTCTCAGAGCCTACCATGCATGCTTCCTACATAGACCCTTCCTCCCCACCCACTTCCCTGGCTCCCTGCCTGGAAGCCAATGTGGTTATAGGCTTTGAGGCCTGGGCCAGTCCCTCAAGATAGTATCCCAAAGCCTCCTCATGGAGATTAGAGTGGAGAATTGAGGCAGGCAGGGGTCTGCCTTCTATTGCCAAGCTCCTTCCTTGGTACCTGTTCAACTAAGCATAGTGCTGCTTGCCTCTCCTGTCCTCCAGTAACTGTTCCCTCTACCTAAATGGGGATCAGAAACCCTCCAGACCTATTCTGATGAGGCATGTGAAGAAGAGGAAGAACCCGGGCCTGTGATTTGCCGAAGATGTGTGCTAGCCACAGGACCCTGGCAAATCCCCTTAAACCTCACTGAGCTCCAGTTCTCTCATCTGAGAATCAGGGAGTCAAGACAGACTCCTCACCCTGACAACCTCAAAGGCTCCTTATGAAAATTAAACAAAAAAGGGCTTATCTCCAAAGCTATTCCTCATGTTCACACTCATATTCTGCCTTTTCTCAATACTCATCTGCTCCCACAGTCACAGATACTGGCTCAGTAATTGATTCCTGTTCCCCAGGAGAGGCTTCATGTTCCTCCCTCCAGTCCTCCTCAACTAGGAGGGCAGCTCCCGGAGGCGGGGCTGGGTCACATTCACACTATCTGGTTTAAAGCTTTGCAGATAAGACGGCTTGATCCATCTGACCATCTGACCACCAGCTCCTTTGTAAAGAAGGAGAGGAAGGAGGGCACGGTTATATAGCTGCCTAAGCTTCTTTCACCACATGAAGGTTACCTGGGCTCCCCAAATGTCTTAAAGGTTTAACCTCTCCCTCCCCCAGCCCCCTTCTCCCCATTTCCCCACCCCTGTTCACCTACATTCAGCAGCTGGTTGGCCTCCTTGCCGTCTTGGTTGACCCCATAATGAGCATTCTGCTGCAACCTGTCCACCTCCTTCCCGGCCTGGCCAGCAGCATGGTGGACACCTTGGCCAAGTTTCTCCGCTTCCTTTCCAGCCTGGCCAGCAGCGTGGTTGACCCCTTGGCCAAATTTCTCTGCCTCCTTCCCGGCCTGGTTGACCCCATCGTAGACCCCGTGGACTACTTTGTCTGCCTCCTTTCCGGTCTGTTCAACGGCATGGTGAACTCCCTGGCCAAACTGATCCACCTCCTTCCCAGCCTGGTTGACTCCATTGTGAACCCCTTGGACCACTTTTTCCCCCTCTTTCCCAGCCTGCCCTGCTGCATGGTGGACCCCCTGACCAAACTTCTCTGCCTCCTTCCAGGCCTCATTAACCTCATGGTGGACCCCATGGCCAAACTGTTCCACCTCCTTCCCAGCCTGGTTGACTCCATTGTGGACCCCTTGGACCACTTTTTCCCCCTCTTTCCCAGCCTGCCCTGCTGCATGGTGGACCCCCTGACCAAACTTCTCTGCCTCCTTCCAGGCCTCATTAACCTCATGGTGGACCCCATGGCCAAACTGATCCACCTCCTTCCCAGCCTGGTTGACCCCAGGACGGACACCTTGGACTATTTTGTCTCCCTCCTTTTCAGCCTGACCTGTGGCATAATGAGCATCCTGCCCAAACCACCCCACCTCCTTCCCAGCCTGGTTAACCCCATGATGGACCCCTTGGACTATTTTGTCTCCTCCTTTCCCAGCCTGCCCAATAGCATGGTGGACCCCCTGGCCAAACTTCTCAGTCTCCTTCCAGGCCTCACCAATCCCATGATGAACCCCCTGGCCAAACTTCTCAGTCTCCTTCCAGGCCTCACCAATCCCATGGTGGACCCCCTGGCCAAACTTTTCTACCTCCTTCCCAGCCTGCCCAGCAGCATGGTGGACCCCCTGGCCAAACTTGTCTGCTTCCTTCCAGGCCTCACCAATCCCATGATGGACCCCCTGGCCAAACCTCCCTGCCTCATTCCCAGCCTGCCCAGCGGCATGGTGGACCCCCTGGCCAAACCTCCCTGCCTCATTCCCAGCCTGCCCAGCGGCATGGTGGGCCCCCTGGCCAAACTTGTCTGTTTCCTTCCAGGCCTCACCAATCCCATGATGAACCCCCTGGCCAAACCTCCCTGCCTCATTCCCAGCCTGCCCAGCGGCATGGTGGAGCCCCTGGCCAAACCTCCCTGCCTCGTTCCCAGCCTGTCCAGTGGCATGGTGGAGCCCCTGGCCAAACCTCCCTGCCTCATTCCCAGCCTGTCCAGCGGCATGGTGGACCCCCTGGCCAAACCTCCCTGCCTCATTCCCAGCCTGCCCTGCGGCATGGTGGACCCCCTGGCCAAACTTGTCTGCTTCCTTCCAGGCCTCACCAATCCCATGATGAACCCCCTGGCCAAACCTCCCTGCCTCATTTCCAGCCTGCCCAGCGGCATGGTGGAGCCCCTGGCCAAACCTCCCTGCCTCACTGCCCGCCTGGTTGACCCCATGATGGACCCCCTGAATCACTTTATCTGCCTCCTTCCCAACCTGTCCAGCAGCGTTGTTGACCCCATGGATAAACTTCTCTGCTTCCTTTCCTGCTTGTCCGACGCCATTGTTGGTACCATGGGCTACCTTGTCCAAGCCGTGGTTGAGCCCCTGGATGTCCTTGTCCAGCTCCTTGCCGGCCTGGCTCCCCATGTTGCTAAGTCCATTAAAAACTTTCTCCACTTCCCTTCCAGCTTGAGTGATGCCATTATTGATGCCTTCCAGGGCCTTGCCCACCTCTCTCTCTGCATTGCTCAGCCCTCGGTTGATCCCTTCAATGACCTTCTCAATGGGGTCATCACTGGCTGCCCATCCAGGCAGGGCCCCCAAAAGCAGTAGGAGGGAGCAGGAACTGATCAAACTGGCAAGATGCATATTGTTGGGAGGGTGGGGAGGATGCAGAGAGGAACCAGTGAAGCCAAGCTGCTATTTATCTTCTGCTTCCCTCCCTCTTCTCCACCCCTCATGACTCAATTACCCCCGTGAGGCACTGACTTGGTCTCCAGTCAAGGAGGTATTTCCCAGGGAGATTTGAGGTTGAGCAATGAAGAGGAGGAGGAAGAGAAGGTGAGTCATGAATAAAGAATACTCACATGGCATCTTTGCTCCCTCCCCGTTCAGGCCCTCCACCCCAGAACCTAGATGTCTGCCCTCCCAACTACCTCCTCTTTTCATTCCTCACCCACTAGCCAGGCCTCCGCTCTCCCAACCCCACCTTCAATAACCCCCCATCTCTGGTTCCTCAGCTTCTTCACTCCTCTCAGGGGATCAAGGATCCAGCTTCCCAGCATTGAGATTCTAGAAAGATAAGAGGTACAGTCAGGGGGAGGTGAGCACTTTCAGGGAGATGAGGAAATCATCAGACCTTGTTCTTATTGTTCCTGTTGACCCACTCCTCACACACACACACAATTTACTATGCTTCAGCCACACAGGACTTCTCCCTGGCCTTCAAAAACACCAAGTTCATTCCTGCCGTATGGCCTTTGCCCTTGTTGTTCTCCCTAGTCCTGAAACATACCAAGCTCATCTCTGCTTTATGGCCTTTTCCCTTGCTATTCTGTCTGGTATCAGTACTTAGATCTTCACATGGCAGGTTCCTCCTCATTCTGTTTTTGGCTCAAATATTACCTTCTCAAAAAACTTTCCTGGCCATCCCCCAGTTATACTCTGTAATATCATCCTTTGGTTTTTATAGCACTTAATTGATCCAAAACTACCTTTTTTATTGTCTGTCCCTCGTATCAGATTATAAACATCCAGAGGACAGGGCTTTGTCTGTGTTAGTTACTGCTCTATCCCCAACGTCTAGAACATTACCTGGAGTTCAGTAGATATTTATAAATTGGACAAATGGATGGATTAGAAGAAGCCAAAGGAAGGATAGGCCTAAGTCTGAGTCTCAGAGGGTGCTGGGGGGGGGAAGGGTGCCTGAGTTCCCAGAGTAGCCTACAGTCCCTTGGGAAGGGTTGCAGATTTTGGAGCCAGGATCACATTATCATCACAGAACCCTAGCCTCCTGCCTCCCAGCCCTTGGGCAAGGGCAGGGGGCTGATTGCCATGAGCTGGGACAGGACGCAGTGCCTCCTGAAAAGCCGGTTAAGGCAGCCATGGGGAGGGGCTGGAGACCCAGAACAGCAGGAGACTGTCAGCCAGAACCTGGGCTGGGGGCCAGGAGCTCATTCTTCCTGACCTCCTCCCCCTGGAGACTCATAAGTCCCAACCTGAAGCCCCAGGTGTTGACATGGCAGCATGGGTTGGAGGAAGAAACTGCTAAGAGGTGGCCTAAGTGTGAATAGAGGCATCAGGAGGAAGGACAGGTAGTGGTTTGCAGATCTGTGGCAGAATATCTATCTGGAGCTAGTTTAGAGGGAGACAGAGACCAGAAGGACAAGAGCCAGTGGGTGGGTACAGTTGGGTGAAGGGGTGTAAGATATTTGGGTTTTTGTGCCAAGGGGAGAGACTGAGAGAGGGGGTGGAGGTGGGATTGCAAGTGGGAAGGCCAGGCAGGAAGGAATGTGCAGGGTGTGAGCAAGTGGGGGTGGCAGAGTTATGTGTGTGGGTGCCCAGGTGTGGTGAGAATCTGCAAGTGTGTTGGGTCTTTGCTCAAACAAGGACAACACGGCCCACTTCCCTTGGTAGACCCAGGTTCCACCCCAGATCCTGGACACTTGGCTCTATCCGGAACCAGGCATCCGAGACCCAGAGGCCCAGGAGCTTCTGCCTTCTCTGTGCTCTACCTATAGAGGGTGACTAATTGTACCACCTCTCCATGCTTGAGTTCATCGTAGGTTTCCAAGTTTCACGCTCCAGGAACAAAGCCAAATCCCTGGGCAACCTCAGGTGTGGCTTTTCTGTCCAGTGTCTAAATGAGGGAGTTTCCCATGCCAGGAGATTGCTGGGTGGGGAGCTCCAGAATCCTAATCCTCCCTGAGATTGACAGGTGGGGTTTCTCCATTTGTCTTTCCACCCCTCTCTCTGCCCTACCCTACCATCTTCTGTCAGCCTCAGGCCCCCTCCTCAGTGCTCCATTCCCATTGGCCACTATTTGGTTTGGATTTTGGCATCTATCTCTGTGAGACTGGCCTGCCATCCTCTGCTGATTTGGGCTACATGGCTGTGTTGCTTTCCTAGAGTGAGGGGTGGAGCTTTCAGTCATGGAGCCATCACAGCTCCCCCAAAGAACCCCCAAGAAGTTTGCCATGAAAGTACACAGTGTGCATGCCAATCCACAGGGCCTCTGAACATGCACCCTGCCCGGAGCCTCTCTGCACAGGAGCTGCCGCAGGCTTCCCAGCTCTGGTTAGGATCTGCAACATTTCCTATAGTCTGGCAAATACTTGTTCCTGATACTCTGGCAGATCTTGTCATAAAATCAGGATCTGAAAAAAAAAATCAGGATCTGAATCAGCCTTTGGGATCTTAACTCTTTGTCTCTTGTTATTGACCTACTCAGATCTGCCATTTCTTTTTGTACCAATTTTGATCCTTTATATTCTCTAAGAAATATTTTAATTTCATCAAGCGTTTCATATTTATTATTGTAAAGTTGTACAAAATCAGTCCCTTTTCAGTCCTGGTTTTATTTGTATGGTCTTTCCACCCCTCTTGATCATACATGTAAAGTTCGTCCCCCCTTTGTTTAATCACTACTTTTTTTTTATTGAGGTCTCCCTATCTGTATGTACACCCAATTTAGTAGATTCATTCCCACCTCTCCCAGGCCATCCAAGCAGGAAGGTCTCACCCTCACCCTATCCCATGGCAGTTGCTTTCCCATGGAGGGTTGGGGAAGAGGTCATATCATTGTGCCCCTTCTTGTTTCCACACCTCTTTCTGGGATGGTGACTCCTTCCTGGCTCCAACCCCCACACCCCTAAGTCTTGGTCACAGTTGTGTGTCAACTGGCCCTGCAGGTGCCTGCCTGTGAGTCACAGATGTGCAAGCAAGCCCCCACCCACAGTGCTTTAGGGGAAGGGGACCATCTGTCCATTGGTTCTTCCCCAAACGTTTATGGAAGCTTGCTTTGTTCCAGGCACAGTTCTAGGTGCTGGAGGCCCAGGGGTGAACAAAATAAACAAGAATTCATGCCTTGTGGGAGACAATGAACAAGTAAATCATAACTAGGTCATGACAAACTACAATTCAGTGGTTCTCAACCTTCTGGCCCTTTAAACACAGTTCCTCATGTTGTGACCCAACCATAAAATTGTTTTCGTTGCTACTTCATAACTGTAATGTTGCTACTGTTCTGAATCCTAATGTAAATATCTGATATGCAGGATGGTCTTAGGCGACCCCTGTGAAAGGGTCGTTCGACCGCCAAAGGGGTTGCGACCCACAGGTTGAGAACCGCTGAACTACATGAAAAGCCACAAGGAAAAGAATGGGGTTTAGAGACATCTGCTGTGAGTGAAGTGTGGTAGCAACCATCTCAGGTGGAAATTATAGTTTAACTTTAACCCTGCTGTTTGGCTTATGTACCTATTTGCTTTGTTTAACATGGACAATTTTGATTTTCTGAATTCTATAAATCATCCCATTCAATTAAATGCCTTATTGATTGTAATGTGAATATCCCATGGGTTGTGGTCATACTGGTCTTAGAAAGCACATTTTTCCTTCACCTGGGAAGGACAGCACAGTTATCCCAAGGTCAGAGGGCTCTAGACCCAAAACTGTAATTTAGATAAACCCAGGTTACCCAAGGGCTCTAGATAATGTGTTTATAACATGCTGTTTAAACTGTTTTTTGCAAACTAGGTTTTGCAAACCCAAGGGCTCTAGATAATGTATTTCTGTCAATTCAGTGACCCCGAGACCCAAAACTATAATTAACATGCTTAATTCTGCTTCTGTAAACTGCTTTTTGCGAGCCAGGTTCCTCATTCCAAACCCTGGGATGTAATCAATACCTTTGTGATTTTTTTGCCTATATAACCTTGGAGCTGCGACCATCTTGTTACTATGAGATTTGGGGAATGGCCCCTCATAGTCCCGGATTTCAATAAATGTGACTCTTTAATTCGACTTCTTGAGGCCTCCTCCCGTGATTCACAGGGTACATTACAACATGAGGAAAATAAAAGAATAGCATGACCTTTGAGTAGTTTTAGACATTGGAACATCTAACCTAGGATGGGAAGTTAGACAGGCTTCCTGAAGGGTGGGTACATTGAGGGGGTGAGGCTGATGGGAGGTAGTGACTGAGAAAGAAGAGAACTTTAGATGGGGAGTCAGGAGGATCTCTTTTAAAGGGTAACACCTGCCCTGACCCCTGGCCAGTGTGGCTCAGTTGGTTGAGCATCATCCAGTGCACCAAAAGGTCACTGGTTTGATTCCCTGTCAGGGCACATGCCCAGGTTGTGGGCTTGATGCCCTGTAGGGATGTGTGCAAGACAACCTATTGATATTTCTCTCTCTCTCTCCCTCTACTTTCCTTTCTCTCTAAAATCAATAAAAACATGTCTTTTTTAAAATAAATAAAAATAAAGGGCAACACCTGAGGGAAACCAAGAGGCAGCCAGCTGAGGGGAGGCCTCCGCAGAGCTTCCAGGCATAAAGGAACAGCTGGGGTAACTATGGGGAACGGGGTGTATGTCAAGGAACAGCAGGGAGCCAGTGTGCTTAGGGAGAGGGAAGGGCTTTGAGGACCAGTGTAAAAAGTTGGATTCCATTCTAGACGCCAGCGGCGGCATTGGAATGGTGGTGCACGGTGTGCAGACAGCACACCTCCCCTGGGATGGGATGGGCCCTTTGCGCCACCGCCTCTGTGACATCACTGGACTGTGACGTCACGGCAGAAAGCTCGTGCCCCACTAGCCCCGCGCCCCGCGTGGCAGTAACATCGCGGCGAGTCCCTGGGCAGCCAGGCCATGAAATTTTAGGAGGCCATGCGGAAGCGCGACATCGTCCTCACCAATGTCACCGTGGTCCAGCTGCTACGACAGCCATGCCCGGGTGAGGGAAGAGGCGGAGCCCGCTGGAGAGGTTGGGGGGAGGGAGGAGGGGGTACAGCGCTCGCTGGGTCGGAGCCCCCTTCATAGAGCGTCCGCAAAAGAGGGTCAGAAGGCGCGCTCTGGCCGACGGGCTCTACCATCCGGGCCCCTTTCCTCCCACCCTCCAGCCACCCCTCCCCAGTCGGCCACCAGAGTTTGCTGCCAAGTGGTTTTCATGGCGATAGTGGGAGGGAGGATGGGCTGGGCGCCTCGCGCGCGCGTGGTAGAAGGATAGAAGCAGGGGCCGGGACGGAACCTGGGGCCGAGTTTATGAGGGGGCATCTCTGAGGACAGCCGCTCGGTTGAGAAGCTCGGCGAGGGAGGTTTCACCTAAAATTGACGCTCCCGTCGACCAGGGTGGAAGGGCCGCCGGGAGTTGGTGGGCTCCCTCCGTGTTGCACCCAGCGAGGATACTTGCCCCTCCCAGGGCTGTGCCCAGCGCTTCACAAGCGTGCACTTACTGACGCCTCGCAACCACATAGCGAGGTCAGCGTATGTACCGTCCGCTTGTCAAAGAGCGCAAACCGCTTCCCGTGGGTCTCTCACTGGAATCGTGAGTTGGGACTCGGAGTCCCGCTCGCGGCCACTGGGCAGCCCTACTTGACCCAGTCGGAAGTGCGCGCGTGCGCACACACACCCCAACCCAAGGACCCCAGGTCTTCGGGAGGCCACCCGCTCCCTCCCGGCCTCCTCACTGACCGAAGGGGGTTGAGGGTGAGAAACAGCCAGGAAGCTCCTCCCCAAGGTACTGGGCGTGGCCGGAACCCGCTGCCTGCTGCAGGTGCCCAGCTCTGTGCCCTCTGTGCCCTTGGGTCTCGGCTTTCCCTTTGTCAGGTGGCTTTGTAGCATCTGCCTCACAGGATTCTGAGCCCATGAACTGGAGCTCAGCCCAGCACCTGGCGTCACCTGTGACAGTGTTTCACCTACGGAAGAAGCTCCGCTGGGCTCCCGCTCAGTGCAGCAGCTTTTCTCCAGCCCCGGTACCGCGCCCCTAGAAGGGAGGGGAAGGCTAGGGAAAGTTGGGAGAGTTTAGGTAGAGTAGATTCATCCCTACTCTTAATCCAGATGGACAAATCTCCTGTTATAGCAGGAACAGAACCCCAAGGAATGCAAACATCCTAAGGTCACCAATAATCACAGGGCCTCTGCCACCAATAAAGACTAATACTTTTATGAACTTGTACTGACAGCAAACACCCACAGCCCAGCCTCAGGCCACAAGGTCTGTGGCAGCCAGAGAGGTCAGGGAGACAACAGGCCAGCTGGCCGCTGGCTCCCAGCCACACCACTTCCCGGGTGCTTTTGATTCTAGTAGTGCCAAAGCCATCTCCCACCTTCATCCTCGGGCCTCTCCATCCCCTTCTCTCTCCCTTTCCTCATGAATACGTAGTATCAGACTTCCTCCCCTGTATTAAAATCAGCACTACTGGACCTTGAGATCTCACTGAGTCCTCCCAAAAGCCCCCAAGGAGAGGGTCAGATGTGATGACAGGAAACTTGCACAAGGCCAGGTGCCAAGTAGCCGAGGCAGGGATGACAACCGTGCCTGATCCCCAGTATGAAGCCCTCTGCCAGGCAGATCCCTGACTGCTCTCTCCACATCTCCCCTCCTCTCTTCACCTGGAGCTCAGATGGCACACCTCCAAGCACAGATGTTCAAATATGCAGTAAGGGAGTGGGAGTATGTTTAGAGAACCGGGAGCTGATAAAGATCTCCATTTGTTTCATGTTCTGGTATATCTGTATTTCCTAAACTTTTCTGAAGGTAAGAATCACCTGAAGTGTTCCTTAGAAGCCCTTGAGCCTCAAAACAGGCCTACTGAGTCAGATTTCCCTAGGAGGCACTTTCTGGATGATGCTTATCAGAACATTCTGGGGACCAGTGAGCTACATGAATTATCAGACCATTTGGGAAAAGGCCTTTGAAATACTAATGTATGCGGAATGTTCCCAGACTATTGTCATAAGCGCTACATATATTATTACTTCATTTAATCCTCACAGTGACCCTCTGAGAGTACTATTATCTCCATTTTAGAAAGGAGGAAACTGACTCAGAGTGTGATCCCAAGCAACTGTTAAAGATACACAGTACTCACTGAATTAGAATCACCAGGGAAGGGGCCCTGGCATTGATATTTTAAAGCAAGCCCATCCTGTTCATTTTGTGGATCAGGTAGGTTTTGGAAACACAGCTCATTTTCTCTCACTGTGATGGTGCAGTTCATTGCCACCCCCACTCTTTCCAACAGTAACCAGACCACCACCACCGCCGCCACCACCCAAAGTTGAGCCAGAACCAGAGCCAGAGCCAGACCCAGAGCCAGACCCAGAGCCAGACCCAGAGCCAGTGGTAGAGCCAGACCCAGAACCAGAGCCAGAGCCTATCAAGGAGGAAGCCCCACCTCCTCCACCTCCACCACCTCCTCCACCTCCTCCTCCACCTCAGAAGGTTCGGGAACTGACTGTTGGCATCAATGGGTGAGTCAGCCCTGGCCTCTGAGCCTTCCTGAAACCATAGGGCCCAGGCATTCCTCCAGTTACTGAATAGGGCATCTCCACATTTCACACCATCAGTGCTTTCACTCTGTCCACCTTGGAGAATTGGGGGGGGAGGGGGTGGGAGTAGACAGGGCTTTGTCCCCTAAGAGAGCTCACATTCTGGTGGGAAAACATCAAATAAGGAACATTTGGTTTGGTGATGTGTGAATGAACAGTATGAAGTATAGTAAGACTGGAGAGGCCAGTGTTAGCTGGGGTGTCAGGAAAGACCTCTGGGAGATGACACTGGAGTGAGGCCTGAGTGGCAGCTGTGCAGCAAGCAATGGCTTGGGGGCACAGGTGGCAGCACAGTATGCAAAGGACAGGCAGGAATTCAGTGCTGGTGTGGAGCAAGCAAGGCAGAAGAGGAAGGAGTGTTGGAAAGCAGATGGGCCTCGTAAGCCATGGTAAGGAATTTGGATCTAGTTTTACTGATAGAGCTGTAGAGGCTTTCAGGCCAAGAGACGTAATCGGGCCTGAAGTTCTTTAAGATCCATCCAACTACACGATTAGGAATGGGGTAAAGAATGGATGGGTGAGGAAGCAGGCAAATCAGTTAAGCTGGTGAGATCATGAGCAAGATAATAGCTGCCTGCAAAGGGTTGGTTGCCTTCTTCCCCGAGACCGAGTCGTCCCACCCAGTCCCCTTGAGGAGCCTCCTGCTGCCCCCTTCTTTCCTGTCCCCTCCTCTGCCTGCTGGCTGAGGATTCTGAAGACAACCCCAAACCCCTGTCCTGGACAGATTTGGACGTATCGGTCGCCTGGTGCTGCGAGCCTGCATGCAGAAAGGCGTTAAGGTGGTGGCAGTGAATGATCCATTCATTGACCCGGAATACATGGTGAGTAGCAGGTAAAGGGTAGGATCGGGGGTTCAGGGGTGCTCTCTGGGAGGTTCTCAGGTGCAATATGAAACCTTCACCAAGGCAGGGATTCCTTAGGGATGGTTGCTCCCCCACCTCTGCCACCCCCAAGATAAGGAGCCATTCTGTCTCCCACAGGTGTACATGTTTAAGTATGACTCCACCCATGGCCGATACAAGGGGACTGTGGAATACAAGAATGGACGGCTGGTTGTGGATAAACAGGAGATCAGTGTCTTCCAGTGGTAAGGGCAGCTGTCTGATGCATGCCTGCAACACATTAATGGAGGGAGTGTAAAGATGACATGAATGGGATCCCAGCCTCTCCTTGGGATTCATAACCCCTCAGCATGTATGTCTCTCAGTACTGGTTGGAAGAGGGGGGTCTCAGAGAAGTCTGTGACTGCTAAAATGGTTAGGAAGCACTGACTTAGAAAGATGCCCCACTCTACTCAGGAATAAATCAAAATGTGCATTCTGATTTAATGCACATTTACAAGTTTTCGCACAGGCATAGCAATTCAACATGTCTAAAACTCACCTCTTGGTTCTCCATCAACCCCCAAACCTATTCATCTCCCTTCCCACGAAGCGACATCGACATATGGCCAAGTGCTTCTACTCGGTTCCTACACAGCAACCACAGAGGCCTTTTTAAAATGTCAACTAGGCCGTTACTCCCCTACTTAAACCCTCCCGCCACCCCAAAAATAAAATCCCAGCTCCTGATAGGGCCCCACAAGCATTATGAGCCCTACGCCTGAGCCTTCTAATATAACCTCAGCCACAGTGGCCACCCACCTCTTGGCCCCATTTCACATAGTTATTGATGTTAATTTTCCTCCATTTAAAGATATGTCCAGAATCTGCAAAAACCAAAAGCATTATTAAATGTTTAATATGCTCCAAAGACATCAAGAAAACTAAAAAATTATAAAATGGAAAATATTCTACTTCATATTTCTAATGTAAACTATTGGCCACTGCTGGCCCCGATTTGACATACACTTGTGCTTGCATGCTCACAAGCCCTCCCAGCGCTCCTCCCAGCAGGCCCACTCCCAGCCCCTCTCATTTACTGGGGTGTAGGGAGTGTGAATAAAAGAGGGACAAGGAAGGCTTGTGGTTAGGTGGTCAGGGTTGGGAAGGAGGGGATGGAGGTGGGGACTGGAACATCAGTGAGAGAAGCTTCTTGACCCAAGTTTGAAATCATAACCAAAAACAATTCCGGCACAGAGGTCATTACTTAGACATACCGTGTCCTCTCCTTCAACCTGGGCACCGTCATTCCTGCCACTTGCAGCATTCTCCCCCATTGTGCACCCCTACTCAGGTTCTGCCTTGTCAGGTCACTGCAGTGGTTATTCCCCCCACCACCCCACTCTGTCACTGCACTGTGGGTGTTTTCCAGTCACAAAAGTGATGTTGCTTTTGTGTGTACTTTACCCTGTTCAACCCTTTCTAGACAGGCGACCCTGGGCTAAGGAAGTGAATTTCCTTGAGCCTGTTTCTTCATGTAACTGATGGGGATGGGGATCAGATCCATGGCAGGTAGCACAGCCAGTTAACAGGCATGTGGGGAGCACTGCGAAGGGCATTTTCCCACAAGGCCCCCTTGCAGGAAGAATCCTGTCAGTTTGTCACCACTATTGCTTTGGCACCTATAGTGCAGGTCCTGGCTCTGGGTAAACTCACAACTTCCTTGAAGAATGAATGAATGGAATCCTCAAAACAAGACCCTGGGCAGGAAGGCAGGGCCCGACAGTCTAGGGAAAAGGGCTGGGGTCTCCTGAGGTGCCAACTTAACAACTGTTGCAGAGGAGTTTGAGTTACCCTCCCTCCCCAAATGAGAAGGCAGGAGATGGGGGGCCTCAGAGAAGAGGTAATTGAGCCAAATGATGAAAAGTGTGACCTGACAGAGCAGGTGACCAGGAAAAGAGAACCATGCGTGGTGGCCCAGGGAGAGGAAGCTATTCATTTGTTCCTTTAATCTGGTATGCAGCCAGTACAGATCCTAGGACCAGCCTGCCTATACTTCCAGACAGCTCTCTCTCCTACCCCTTCACCTCTGCCCTGGCTTCTCTACAAAATGCCAATAAGGCATTTAACCCTCAGGGTGTAAGGGTTAAATGATTCAGTGAAGGCAAAGCACTTAGAACATGGGCACGTGGCAGGTGTTCAGTAAACATGTGTAGGATGGCTAATAAAAAATAACCCTACAAACACTGTCTGAACCCTTTTGGAGGGAGCAGGCTCAATGACAAAGGAAACAGACACAACCCTTTTGCCACAAAGCGGTCTAAAAGATGAGACAGATGCTAACAAAAAATCACAAAAATGAATACTGCAGTTGTGATAAGTCCTGTGAAGAAGACTCATATGCAAACCAAGTAGAAAACAGCAATATTTGTTTCAAATGCAAATGTTAAACTATCAAGTAAAAATATAAATTTATAAAAGTGGAAACCAAAAAGGCCTTGACCTTTCTGATCCACTGCTGACCCCACGGTAGCCCGTCCCCCCATTGCTCCCAGGATGTAGTTCCTGTCTTCAGGGACTTGCTCAGCCTCTGGCAGAAGGCTCCCGGTTGCAGAAGCTGAGTGCTAGAGACAAGAGGCAAGGAGGGCCATGGTGAGGTTGTGAGGACAGGGAATCAGAAGCAGTGCAGCAGGCCTCACCCTTCTGGAGTCTACATTCTAGGCATAGAAAGGGCCTGACCTGGTTGGCAGTAGTCAGGGGTGGTCCCCTGGAGACAGAGGGTGAATGAGCCTGAGTAGGGAAGGTGGCAACTTGTATATACTGGGGCATAGCAGAGGAAGGGCAGTCAAGGTAAGTGGCCAACAAGAGCTGCTCAAAATGTATCAAGATAGCAACTGCAGGGCTGGGAGAGTCAGATCTCCTGCCTCAGAATCTTTGCACTTGGTCTGGAAAGCTTTTCCCCCAAGTGGCCATATATCTGTCCTCACCTCCTCCAATTCTTTACCTCAGCCTCCCTCCTCAGCAAAATGCCAACAGGCAAGACTAGCAGGGTCAAATCCACCTGGGATAACTAGGTATGTGTGGGGTGGGGAGAACAGATGGTTACAGGCCAGGTGGGAAGGTGTCTAGTCAGCCTTTCAAACAGTAAAGGCCAGGGACTATGAAGGCAAGGCCATGCAAGGGAGGCTGATACACAGCCTTGCCACCTCTCCATAGCAAGCAGCCCAAAGAGATCCCCTGGAAGTCTGTCGGAAGCCCCTTTGTAGTGGAGTCCACAGGAGTGTACCTGTCCCAAGAGGAAGCTTCTGTAAGTGGGGAGAAGTGGGCGGGGCTGGCCAGGGGAGGTGACACTCAAAGCATCTCATCAGTTCATGACACCAGGGCTCCTTCCTCCTTCCCTAGAGCCACATCCAGGCGGGTGCCTTACGTGTGGTCATCAGCGCACCCTCACCAGATGCACCCATGTTTGTCATGGGGGTGAATGAAAAGGACTATAATCCTGATTCCATGAAAGTTGTCAGGTAACGGGCACCAACATCCAGAAGTGGGTGGGTGATGTCCAGAGAACATGCCAGCCTGTGATGGGAAGGGATCAGGCTCAGCCTCCCCGTCCCCCAACCGCCACTCCCACTGGTGCTGCTTTCACATCCCCATCTGCTTCTCCCTCCCAAAGTCTTAACAGCCACCATGTAAACATCCCCCTGGACCTGTTAAAAATGCACAACTTCTGGAGAACATGCTTGGGGAGCTTCCCCCAGCTGCACCTCCAGTGCCTCCTTCAGTCTAAAGGCATCCCCAATGATCTTTCTCATCCCCATCCTGACTTTTCACAAATCCGAGCCTCTGAGCATCTCCCCAAAATGAGGTAAGGGTGGAAGGTGGCTCTGACACTCACCTCACAGTTCCCTTGCATACTGGGCTGTTTCAGCAATGCATCCTGCACTACCAACTGCCTGGCCCCCCTTGCCAAGGTCGTTCATGAGCGATTCGGGATTGTGGAAGGACTGATGGTGAGTTGGGGAGAGGGCTGGGCAGGATGGATGGCAGGGAACCTGTACTGCTTCCTCTCAGATTAGTGTGTGACTTTAATAGAAAGAGACTGGTTTCAAGAGGAAAGGCCCGCCAGTGGTAGAGTCTTTTAAAATTCTGTGTAACTCTCGGCAAGGCTGAACCCCAGCTTGCAGGTGCCCCTCCAGTGGTCTGTGGTGGCCCCACAACCTCCACACCTGGCTCATCACTTCAGACCTGAAATAAAGAGGCACAGGAACTTAGGAGCAGGAAGGCCTCACCTCAGCCCTCTTCTTCCCCAAGACCACAGTCCATTCCTACACGGCCACCCAGAAGACAGTGGATGGGCCATCAAAGAAGGCCTGGCGAGACGGACGAGGAGCTCACCAGAACATCATCCCAGCCTCTACAGGGGCTGCCAAGGCCGTGGGCAAAGTCATCCCAGACCTCAAAGGGTATGAGGGCAGAAAGCTGCAACCAGGGTGGGAGGCACACCCTGGGAAGAGCAGACGGGCCCCAATCCTTAAGGTATCTAATGAGAGGAAGGTGGAGGGGAGGGGGTGGATGGAGAAGTCCTTGGGTTCTGACTTCCACCTCCATGTGGGACTGTCCAGGAAGCTGACAGGAATGGCGTTCCGGGTACCAACCCCAGACGTGTCTGTCGTGGACCTGACCTGCCGCCTGGCCCGGCCTACCACATACTCGGCCATCAAGGATGCCGTAAAAGCAGCAGCCAAGGGGCCAATGGCTGGCATACTTGCCTACACAGAGGACGAGGTAGGGACTGAGGAGAAGAGACCCTGGGAGGAACCCTCTGGGGGGAGAGCGTGACTTCCCACTTGCCAAGGAGCTGCTCACAATGAATCCAGATAGGAACTGCAGGGCTGGGAGTCAGATCTCCTGCCTCAGCATCTTTGCACTTGCTGCTCCTCTGGTCTGGAAAGCTTTTCCCCCAAGTGGCCATACACCTGTCCCCCCTCCTCCGATTCTTTACCTCAGCCTCCCTCCCTCCTCAGCAAGGTGTTCTTTTTGTGGCCCCTTTCTTCACCTGAAATTCCATCTCAGTCACTGCTGGTCCTGCGAGCACGTGCACTCCAAGAAGGCAAGGATCTGGGGACTATCTTTTCACTTCCATAGCTCCAGCCATCTTCTCAGGGCCTGGCACACAGCAGATGTTCAATACATGCTTCCTGAACAAGACAAAATATACCATTTTTCAACACTTGCTCAGGGCAGGCCATGGGCAGGCACCTTCCCTGTGAAAAACAGATGCCACTGTCCCTGTGCTCCCAGTAGTACCATCTCTGGTGCTGTCTCCCTGGTTTAGCTCCTTGCAAGGCCACCCTCACACAGCCACCAGGGCCTCTTGTTTTAATGGAATCAGATCACACCCGCCTCCCTCCCCCCTGCAGAAAACCTTCCTGTGGCCTTCACCACACCAGGGCCACAACCCTCCGCCTCTGCGCTGCAGCTCCTCCTACCTCAGCTCTGCTGAGGGCCCGTCAGCCCGACCCAGCCCGGTGCCTCCACCTGGGGCCTCTGCCAGCCCGTTCCAAGTGCCTGAATTATCCCCAGGAAATGATATTTATTGGTGCGGCATCAGGGTGTTCGTGGTCTGTGTCCTTTGGCCAGTCCCCCACCAGCAAAGCCCCCAGGTGCCTTCTTCATATCCCACCCCCACAGCCTGGACACAGTAGGACTCCATCAGATGTCGTAGACGAAGGCATAGCCAATATGCCTGAGTCAGAACCTGGCCTCCTGGAGGTCTCTCTCTGCGACTCAAACTTACCTCAGAAATTCTGGCACCCAGGTTGTCTCTACGGACTTTATCGGCGACACCCACTCGTCCGTCTTCGATGCTAAAGCCGGCATCGCGCTCAACGACAACTTCGTGAAGCTCATTTCCTGGTACGGGGGGAGGGGTCAGAGGGCAGGGGGAGCTGGGGGAACGAGGAGGGGCCGCTGACCCTCGACGCCCTCCCCAGGTACGACAATGAATACGGTTACAGCCACCGGGTGGTGGACCTCCTCCGGTACATGTTCAGCCGAGACAAGTGAAGCGCGACAGCCCCTCCACTCCCCCGTGCTCCCTGCCCAGAACCTCCACCTCCCGCGAGCCGCCGGTGAAATAAACACAGCGTGCTCACAGCTGGCCCGTGTCTCTGCGCCGCTCCCGGGGGCCCGGCCCCACTTCCTCCCGCGGCCGGCGCGCGAGGGCCGAGCGCCTCCCCTGGGCGCCGACTCCCCGGGGGGAGACCGGCCCGCGCAGGCGCCAGCGGCCGCGCTCCGCGCCGGGGCGCAGCTCGTGACGTCATGCGCCCGCGCCCTGGACTCCGCTCCCAGAAGGCCGCGCGGGCCGCGGCGGAGGCCGGGGCGCCCGGCGCGGGCTCAGGCGTCTGGAGGGCGAGGTAGGGAGCAGCGCTGCGGCGGGCGGGGGCGGCGCCATGACCTTGTTTCACTTCGGGAACTGCTTCGCGCTGGCCTACTTCCCCTACTTCATCACCTACAAGTGCAGCGGCCTGTGAGTGCGGGGCGGCCGCGGGGCGGGGCGGGGCGGGGGCGCGGGCCGGGCGAGCCCTCACCGCCCGCTCCTGCAGGTCCGAGTACAATGCCTTCTGGAAGTGCGTCCAGGCTGGAGTCACCTACCTCTTCGTGCAGCTGTGCAAGGTGAGGGCGCCCACACCGCTCGTCTGGCCCCAGGCTCGCAGACCCAGCTGCCCGATGGCGCGGTGTGGTCCTCGGCTCTCCCCATAGAAGATGGCCCTGGGAGGGTGGGACCTGAGGAGACGCCTCCAAGCAGCTCTTGCATAGCTGATTTTGTAAGATTGAGAAACTCGGTTATATGGTGTGAAGGGGGTTTGTATGGTTAAGAACCACTAACCACCACCGGGTGCTGCAAATGCTGCTGGTGGCCGCCAGCCCAGCACCTCCAGGTCTGACCCTGTGATCACCACAGAAAAGCTTCCAGGCCTCTTCCCTACATCTCCACGGGTCCTGTCATCTTGCCCCCTCATCTGGTGGTCCCTCTCCATATGGGAACCCCAGAACCAGCACACACTAACTTCCCACACCTTGAGGTGACCTCTGTTTTCTGTTCTCAGATGTTGTTCCTGGCCACTTTCTTTCCCACCTGGGAAGGCGGCATCTATGACTTCATTGGGGTGAGTGGGGCGAGGAAGGGGGGAGGGAGTGCAGAAGTAAGGCCCCCTGGCATCTGTACTTACTCGACCTTAACCCGACCCACAGGAGTTCATGAAGGCCAGCGTGGATGTGGCAGACCTAGTAGGCCTCAACCTTGTCATGTCTCGGAATGCCGGCAAAGGGGAGTACAAGATTATGGTTGCTGCCCTGGGCTGGGCCACTGCGGAGCTCATTATGTCCCGGTGTGTGCAGCAGCCTGAAGCCCAGATTCCTGAGAAAGGACACCTGGGTTTCAGAGAGGTTCTGGAGGGTGGGGGCTCAGATTCTGGGTGCTGAGGGTTTCTGGGTACTGGAGAATCCTTCCCTTTGCCTTTTTCAGTTGCATCCCCCTCTGGGTTGGAGCCCGGGGCATTGAATTTGACTGGAAATACATCCAGATGAGCATTGATTCCAACATCAGTCTGGTAGGCAGTGCTACTGTCCCATACACACCCTTCTGTTGGTGGCAGTACTTCTCCCCAATACTTGGCCCTGACTTCCTGCCTCCCTTCAGGTCCATTACATCATTGCATCTGCCCAGGTGTGGATGATAACACGCTACGATCTGTACCACACTTTCCGGCCAGCTGTCCTCCTGCTGATGTTTCTCAGCGTCTATAAGGCCTTTGTCATGGAGTGAGTTGGGTGGGATTCAAGGATGGGTCCAAAAGGGGCTGGATGATCTGTTTTCCTTCTTTCATTGTGATGTTTCCCCACAGGACCTTCGTCCACCTTTGTTCCTTGGGCAGCTGGACGGCACTTCTGGCCCGAGCAGTAGTGACAGGGCTGCTGGCCCTCAGCACCCTGGCCTTGTATGTTGCTGTTGTCAACGCGCACTCCTAGGCTTGGGTCCCAGGCATTCACATACCTTTTCCTTGTCTCCAGGTTTTAGTGAATTAAACAGTATTTGGGAAGTTGTTTCCGCCTACATCTCTCTCTGGAGCTGTCTGCCAATGCCACACTCACCTGTGTCCCAGAGGCCCTTGTTCTGGCTTTGGAGCCAGGTAGACAGCCTGGCTCTGATTTGTCCTGTGTTCCTATAGCCGTTCCTCGGCTCTTTGTTTTTCCAGAGTAGACTGAAGGCCTTGAAGTATATAATATTTGAGCAGTGGCAAATTAGAGAACAGGCGATAGAGGGAAGCTGGAATCCAAAGTTCTTGGGGACTTCTCACAGCCTTAACCTGGCCCTCTACCATATGGGCCCTTCCCTCACTGGTCACCTCCGAGACCCCTGTCCCTAATCTCCTTTGATCCACCCTTTATATGGCAGCCAAGAGGATCTATCTGAAACCCAGTCTCATTAATTCATCCTCATTATAACCATCTAGAGCAGTGGTTCTCAACCTGTGGGTCGCGACCCCTTTGGCGGTCGAACAACCCTTTCACAGAGGTCGCCTAAGACCATCCTGCATGTCAGATATTTACATTACGATTCATAACTAGCAAAATTACAGTTATGAAGTAGCAACGAAAATAATTTTATGGTTGGGTCACAACATGAGGAACTGTATTTAAAGGACCAGAAGGTTGAGAACCACTGATCTAGAGCTCCCCATTGCACCCTGGACCGTTGGGGCAGACTTCTGTGATTCTGAGTTCCTCAGTTCTGTGGCCCTCAGATAAAATCCTGGTCTGAGTCTTCTTAGGGTAGAGTTCAGAGACCGCTGCAGCCAAGCAGAGCATTTGAACCCCTAAATTTGGATATTGACCTGAATGCCACCCTTCCCACCTCAACCTTTTCTTGGTTCAGTGGGGTCAGCTCCCTGTCCTATTTCTGACCCCTCCCTGAGGGATATCAGAGGCAGAACTTTGAATTTCATGTTTCAGCTCCACCTTGATGCAAATCCTGTCAGAGGCAGAGCTTTGAATTTCATGTTTCAGCTCCACCTTGATGCAAATCCTGCCACCCAGGAAAGTGCTCCCCAGCCCTGGTTTTCCCAGTGGAATCCCCCAGGGTGTGAGACCGGGCAGTTGCCCCCTCCCTCACTCTACCAATGGAGGTCCTGCCATAATGTTATTTAACCCTGGGCCTAGGAAAGCATCATGCACAGCTGCTCAGCTCTACTATGGCAGTCTTAGTGTTTTCAGAGGGAACATACAACCACTATCTAGATCCGTCCCCTTGCCCCTAGTCAAGACAGGGTCCACAGGTATCTTGGGAAGGAATGGGGAAGTGATTGATTGGTCACCCTGACTTTGACTTGAAAAGGGATTAGAGCAGGCACTCTCCCAGTCCAGGTAGGTGGATATGTAGTGGAGTCACTTTCTCACCTTTATCCCATGCACCACCTAGCTCTTGACACGTGTTGGGACAAACGAAGTTTGCAGGAATTATTCAACAACTATTTGCTGAGCAGGGACTCCCAGGCCCCGCTTCTGGTGGCTGTCTATGAATTAATCCCAGCTTCCATGGGATACAGACAGACCAGAGTGGTTGGGGCTAAGGTTGTGGGGGAGGGGGTAGCACAGGCCAGAGGAATCAGGACTGTGATGGGTGAAGCTTGGTCGGAGTGGTAGGACTGATGAGCTAAAATAGTGATTAGAGCTGTGATGGTAAAACAATGGTGGTCCAATGGAGCCAGCTGACCCAGACAGGGGAGGACGGGGGCGGGGCAGGCGGGGCTCCCTGGAAGAGCTGAGACCTGAAAGATGAGTTAGTGAGGCAAAGAGGAGAAAACAGGTGTCAAGGCCTGTATCTGTATAAAGGCCTTGAAGTCAGGGCCTTCCCTTTCCATCAAACCTAACTGGTTGGAACAAGTCCAAGGGGACTTGTGAGACAGAAGTCAGGGTCTGGATCCCAGAAGGCTCTGAGGGTTGGGCTGAGGAATTGACCAGGGACAATGGGGAACCAGGGAGAGTTCTATGTGAGGGGAAGACAGGGTCAGATTTGGCTTTGGGAAGATTTCTGTGGCCACTGTGGGTGGGGAGACTGAGGCCAGGAAATCAGGACTGGACCAGGACAGGGATGGCGGAAGTAGGAGAGTGGCTATAGGCAGTGGAGGTGGTGACCAACAGCCTGTTTTTTTCTGTGTGGTGGGGGGATTGCGGAAATGACAGATGAGAAAGGAGTGAAGAGCCCTTCCCAAGGTCTCATCACATTTTCCTAGGAGGAGGAACCTACTGATGGGACAGCGGATGGGAGCAGGTTTGGAGGGTGATACAGAGACCAGTGGGTCCCCTCAGACATGCCTGGGGAAGCTAGAGACAGATGCGGGTAACACTGCAGAGACAACTGAGATGTGGGCAGGAGTACTGTGATGAAGAGGAGGGAGAAGCCAGGGGCCTAGCCAGAGAGACTCATTAGAGAAAGGGGAAGAGAGACAAGAAAGAGTGTGGCCAGAGGGAGGTGGAAGGCCCGGGATGGGAATTTCTGGCAGTTGGAAGCTTAACTTTTAGTGAGGGTGTAAGGAGGAGCCTGTGAGTTTAATCCCAGGAGTAGGTTGGGATGCCCATTGCTTTGCAAAGGAATGAACAAGTGGAGTCAGAGTGGAGACACCTGTGAAGGCTGGAGGGCGGGGACAGCCTGAGATGGAAAAGATTTTGACACCCTGTGTCGAGGAGTCTCCCCAGAGGGAGAATGGGTGCTGAGAAAGAGAGCCCAGAGGCAGTGTTTAGGTTAGTGGAGTGGTTAGAGTGCTCTGGAGGGTGCCTGTGGTCACATCCAACTCACCTTTAAGTGCTTTAACCCTAGGCAAAGAAATGGGACTTTATTTTCCCAAGGAAGG